ATATATATATATATATATATATATATATATATATATATATATATATATATATATATATATATATATATAATTCTCTTCGTGGACGCTAACCGACTAACTGACCCTCCTCCCGCTCCCACCCTGGCTCTCCAGCTGGTGAGTTGAGGCTCACGCCAAATGTTTACAATCATAGAGCTTGATCGAATTAGTGACGGCTATTAGGGGCCATCACCCATAGTGTTACATAAAAATAATCAAGAAAGTTTAGGGGAGATCACTCCCGCTTTATTATTTAAAAAATAAAAGCATTTTTCGGTTATTCGTTATACTAATCCGGTCTAGACAAGATTATGTACAAAAACATACCGCTTATGACACTTAACCCACCCCTTCCCCACTACAAAGGTGTTCAGTCGCAAACAAAATGTACATACAGTACAGAAAAAAAAACTAAAAGTGGAAAACATAACTTGTCAAGGTGTAGCGGCGGTTGAGTATCCGGCCAGTGTAGGTCGTGGCCGTCCCCATTTTTTAGAACATAAGTGTTACGGGTCAGTTGTAGGTTAGATTAGAATATGTTAGAATAGTCTAGAACTAGAGGAGAGTGCGTGTGTGAGTGGAGTTCACCTTACTGTGTAGTTAGCCTTGTGTGTTTATGTCTTGTATCCCAAGGTCGAATGCGGGTATACAAGGGCGAGGGAACAATTGTGGGGGCAGTCAGCGGGTTAGTAGCGGTTAGGACGAGGACTGTTCTGGTACGCTTGAATGCATTGAGACGAATAAAAGTAGTGAAGTTAGAGACGAAGCGTTGTTGTTGATTTGAAACGAACCCGGAACGTAACAATAAGTAACATTTGTTACCGTCTTCCGGGAATGGGAGCGCCTACTGAGGTGGAGGGTTAGAGCTTTCTATCCTGTAATTTTCTTACCTTTCTCTATAAAGTTGGTTGCTATGGTCTGATATGTGACACATGATTAAAGGTCAATGCGGTGACACAAATTTAAAGGTGTAACCGATGACACAGGATTAAAGGTATAACCGGTGACATAGGATTAAAGGTCTACTCAAGTTTTCGACCTTACTTAAAAACAAGACCAGCAAAATGAGTATAGCAGCAACTTTGGGTTTGATCTATTTTGTGACCTTGGTACTCACAGGCGTGTTCTTTTTTTATAATTTGATTTCTTTTTGTTTTATCTTTAACATCGCAGTAATTTTACTGACTTTTTTTTTCTTCCCCATCTCCTTCTCTATCTTTACCTCTTTCCAGCTCTGCATATTTCTCCACCTACTTTCTCTATCACTTCCCCCACCTCTCTATCCTTTTCATCTTTCTTAACCTCACTTTATATTTCTCTCTCTATTACCCTCCATCTCACCCTCTCCGTCTTTACCTTACCACAATGCATCAGTTTTAATTACTCAATTTGAAAAACGGAGATTAAGTAATTAATAGCAATCCTACTCTACTTGTCTACCAAATCCAGTTAAAGCTGTATAAAACAAACATTTGATAGTTTGTTATGAATTCGTTGTTATTTAAACATTCGAATTACAATGCTTTTAACATTAGAGCTATTAATAAAATGTATTTCTATTAATCATAAAAATAAAATTATGTAACATTCTTTAATTATTTATAATGTTGCAAGGGGTTTGTTTTACGACTGCTTTGTAGTACATTGAATCTCTAAATTGTGCTCTTATTTGTGTATGTGTGTATGTTCTCACCAGCATGTTAGTATGTAAGAACATCATTCACTCTACTACCGATTGCTCACTGCTATTCTCTTCCCGCCATTACCCCTCCCAGATATAGTAGCTCCTCTCCAAACCACATGAAATAACTTTGTATTGATTTGCCCTTGATTGGCTTAGCGGTACAGCGATAGACTGCTAACCCGAAATTCTCGATTTCGAGGTACAGCGATAGACTGCTAACCCGAAATTCTCGATTTCGAAATATGAATTCTACATCATCTGCCGTTATATCTAAAAAGTAATACTTACTTTAAAATTGTCCCTGTAGCAATTACCGATGATTAAAACTCCTATTATACATGTCGGACAAATTGAGTGCATGCTTTTGAATGCTTGGCGTATTCAGGTACACGATTCCGCTCACTTCTACAGAATGATGGGGTTAAAAATTTATTAGTAAATAAACTTTGTTCAGGTCTTTGAATCTGTAGTGAAAATTTTCCAGCGTGTTTTTTTCATTGTCCGGCTCCCACTGAACAGCCTGCACGGTTGGGGCATGACAATTTTAAAACAGCGGTGTAGCAGACGAGAGAGAACAGTAGACCATCCCAAGAAACACAAGATATTTTACACCTCTACTTTATCTACAAGTACCTTGTGAGGGATTAAATGGGAAATAGGGTAAGGAAGTGGGTGGGAGAAGGGTGAGGGGGGAAGTTGGTGGGAGAAGGGTGAGGGGGGAAGTTGGTGGGAGAAGGGTGAGGGGGGATGTTAGTGGGAGAAGGGTGAGGGGGGAAGTTGTGTGGAGAATGGTGACGGGGTATGTACTATGTACAGAAAGCGTGAAAGAGAAATAGAGAGAAAGAGGAGAAGGGGTTAGAGAGAAAGAGAGGAAGAGAGTGAGAGTGGAATCCAGAATTTCCAGTGAAAAGTAGGAACTAGGTCATGAAATCACCACATGTTCAATAAACTTCCAATATGGTATGCCTGTCAATAGTAGCCTACATGAAATACAGTGTGACCTATATCTTTTTTTAAATATAGGTCAGAAACCTTCACCATAGTGCACTCAACAATCTAAAGTTTTATGGCGATTGGATGAATGTTATAGTAATGCATATAGATAACTATAGACTTCATATTGTTTCTCAAAGTCAAAAGCACTATTTATCTCCAGTTAGTTAAAAATTAATAAAGGCCTATAAGAGCTTCTTGCAAACTATGATGTGTACATTCACATGTGTGTGTGAATATTGATGACAGTGTGTTTGTTTATGTGTATTGCGCTTGTGCATGAGCATAATTAGGTGTAGGTGTAGGTGTAGGTGTAGGTGTAGGTGTGGGTGTGGGTGTGGGTGTGGGTGTGGGTGTGGGTGTGGGTGTGGGTGTGGGTGTGGGTGTGGGTGTAGGTGTAGGTGTAGGTGTAGGTGTAGGTGTAGGTGTGGGTGTGGGTGTGGGTGTGGGTGTGGGTGTGGGTGTGGGTGTGGGTGTGGGTGTGGGTGTGGGCGTGGGCGTGGGCGTGGGCGTGGGCGTGGGCGTAGGCGTAGGCGTAGGCGTAGGCGTAGGTGTAGGTGTAGGTGTAGGTGTAGGTGTAGGTGTGGGTGTGGGTGTGGGTGTGGGTGTAGGTGTGGGTGTGGGTGTGGGATTGGGCGTGGTTGTAGGCGTAGACGTATGCGTAGGCATAGGCGTAAGTGTAGTTGTACGTGTAGATGTAGGTGTAGGTGTAGGTGTAGGTATAGGTGTATGTATATGTATATATGTAATAATTTAATATATTTTAGTTTGTATTATCTACTATTCATGCTATTCCTTAGGTCTATGTGTTGGTATTGTGTAATAGTATATGTCATGTCTCCATTGAACTAACTCTTAAAGCAATATCTAAGTAATAATGTAATCGTTTCCTTTATCTGCAGAGATTTGGTGCTATCAAGTACGGCTCGACATATTTGTGGATGATTTTTTATGAGGGTCACAGGCTGCTGATCAAGACCATTAATGCATTGACGGATGATATAATTTAGTGTGCATTATTATGACTTCTACGACGGAACAATGTTAGGATACTTAAGATTAGACTGAATTTTTGCAGCAGGATACAATGAAAGTAAAAGTGAGATCTTCTGGGTGCTAGCCAGGGGATTAGGTAAAGAGATGATGTTGCCCGCACAGTAGTCCCCGCTTAACATTTGCCTGACAAGTCCAAGGAAAGCTAATCATTAGAAGTTGCGGAAAGAAAGCCAGAGTTACTGATCCTGCTGCAGTAGGGGCTCTACTTCTATCAATTTTTTTTAGTTTTATTTGTGTTTCCCCCATAACAACTTAACTGACTGGTATTCGAGCTCGGAAATGTATAGCTAGTAGCCAATGCACTCCAATCCAACCACGCCGTCCGTAATTATTCTGCTATACAAACAGGACATCCTTTTTAATAAAATAATTTTTAAGTAGTTTTTATTTGCCATGCATAGGTCAACCAAGCACTTAACGTTTCGGTAACGTACGTCACTTTCGCGGCCTTAAAAAAGATGTGTCGCTTGTTTTATTCTAACACTGTGCTTCTCAAACTTTCTTCCAACATAGTGCTTTTATAACTGTTTAACACAACGTGAACAGCTTTCTTAAAATGGTAGAGGGGAAAAAATAATCGTTTGATCCAGGCGCAAGAATGGGTCGATATGACTCTAAAATGCTCTGTCCATAATCATTCTGCAACATTCTGCTGACATATTCTGCTATAAAAACAAAATATCAGCTTGTTTTAAGTTATTTTTTTGGGCGTTGAGAGATCCCCTTTTCGTTATTAAGTAGATTTTTTTACCATTTGTCAACAAACACTCTTAGTACTTAAGGTTTGGTTTCGTACGTCACCTTAGCGGCCTTAAAAAATTATGCGTTGCTTGTTTTATTCTAGCATAGAGGTTCTCAAATAGTGCTTCTCTAAATTTTCTTCTAACACGGTATTTCTCAAACTACCTTCTGACAATACTTCTTAAACATTTTTCAACCACAACCACTAGTACAAACATGAACACTGAACATAGCTATGAGTAAGTATTTCTTATCCAAGCAGGTAAAGTGTATATATTATTTTTTTTTTAAATTATTAACAAACATGTCTTTATTAAATACACTGCCAACCACATTTGAGAGGTCTCCCAACTAATCAATTTTCTACCTAGAGAAGCCCATTTTACAGCATCGCTAACTAGATAAGCCCATTTTACAGCATCGCTGATGAAATACTTAAAACAATCTGACGTACGAAGTTTTTCAAATTGAAGTGGCAAATACTTTATGATAAAAACTAAGCACTCAGCGGCCTTTACATCCTTGAGCTTTCTCGCCTGCCACTGTATAAAGCTTGGCTGTAGGGCCAGATCATTCACACTGGATTGAAAGCCAAAACGACTTTAAGACCGTTTCCAACAACTACACAAAGAAGATGAGCATCACATCGTCCTTTGGTTTGCTTTGTGTGCTGGTGTTATTTCAATCAGGTTAGTTTTGTAACATTATAAAAATAAGTTTTAATCGAACATGTAGTTTTATTTATATTGTTTTATTTTAAAGTGTAACATTTTCTAGTATCAACAACGTAAGAAAGAATGGAACATAACATTGGCAATCTTTCTTATAATTACCCAAATGTGCTAAAAGAAAATTTTGTTTTAAGCTCTCCCTTTAAACAATAATAAAATTAGGATAATCTTTGTCACCAGGATTTACAGAGCGTATCCGGTATACAATAACAATTAGAACAGGTGATATTATGGGTGCTGGGACCGATGCGGCAGTTTACATTACTCTGAGAGGAACTAGAGGCTCCATCAAGTATATTCCACCGTTTTCGTTTGGTAGTTTTGAGCAGGGATCCACGGACACGTTCTCGGTGAGTAGGTGGGTCAGTTAGGGCTGTGAATGGGTTGGTCAATGGACACCAGCGAGAAAAGTCTCAAAGGTATTTGAGAGGTGTATAAATTCATTAAAAAATCATGCACAGCGTATTTACAATTAATATGGTTATAAAATCCTGCCTGTCTGGTTTTTTTCGGACTTTACTAAAGATTGGATGTATTTGATGTTTATAATATTTTCGGTAACTAAAAAAAAATTAAAAAAAAAAGCAAAAACAATTTGGTTTTCACGTGTAATGGCGACATAAACATGGCATCCTGCTATTGGATAGGCTGCCATAGATTTTATTGTACACATTGTAAGCTAAAAATAGAAAACTAGGTCATGGGGTTTTAAATTTGCATTGTTATTTAAAAACTTGATCTGCAAAGTTTTGTAAACAAATAGTTATCGATCACTAAGTTACTGTACAGCCAATCAATATTTGTCTTACGAAAGTGAAACATCCGGTTATAACTTAGGCTTGATGAAAATAAATAGAAATGTAGCCTTAAACTCAACAAATTATTTTCAAGTTCTCTGGATTTGCAACTTTTATAGCATTTATTCTAAGAATATAAAATTTCTAAATTAATTTTAGGCTTAAGTTTTTATTTTTTATTTTTTTTACGGTCTAAATCTAAAAAAAACACGTTTTTATTCCATGACAACAACATTATGGAAGGAATCTCGTCAACTCGCTCGCCTCCATTAAGACAGTACAGGAGCAGTGAGTGGGTTGGTCAATTAAGACAGTATAGGGGAACTGAGAGGGTTTGTCAATTAAGACAGTACAAGGACAGTGATTGGGTTGGTGAATTAAGACAGTACAGTGGCTGTGAGTGGATGTATCAATTAAGACAGTATAGGAGAACTGAGAGGGTTGGTCATTTAAGACAGTCAATGGGTAAAGAGGGGGTTGGTCACTAAAGACAGTAAAGAGGCAGTGAGCTGGTTGGTCAATACAGACAGTATACAGTTAGTTTGTCAATTAAGACAGTAAAAGGGCAGTGAGTGTGTTGGTCATTCAAGATAGTATAGGTGCAATGAATGGGCTAGTCATTTAAGACAATTTAGGGGCAGCTAGTGGGTTGGTCAGTTAAGACAGTGAGTGGGTTGGTCAATTCATACATTGAGTGGGTTGGTCATTTCGGACAGTTTCGCTCAACTTACGGCTTCTCTATTACTACATAAATACTGTCTTTTGCTCTTCAAAACGGATACGTTACAAAATGTGCATATTTCCAATGATAAGAAAACGATTGGATTCATTACTGCTGTATATTAACAAACTGTGACTTCCAAAGGTGATTACGATGTGCATACAATCTGCTATAGCTTGATGTACTTTTATTGACTTACAGTATGTTACACTCGGCTTTCTAATTATTTTTGGCTCGTTTTGGGTCAGATGTAACACTAATAAAGAAAACAATCCACAAAGCGAATTTGTAACATTGAAGTATATTTTTTACCAACTACAAGAGATATTGACACGAAGAAAAACTGAAGACAAAGTACACTATGTTGACGCTACCCAAACTTACGTATAGACATCTGCGTAAAGCAGTACAAAAATAAAGCAAACTTAAATGTTTCTAAACATTATATTTAATGTAAACCAGATTATAAAATTTTGGATCTTTAAACGACTAGATTAAAAAAAAAACGATATATTATTCTAATATATGAAATTGGATTCATTTTTTCTAGACTATTGCTGAAAATGTAGGACAACTACAATCATTTACGATTGGACACGAGAACAATGGGTGGAGACCAGCCTGGTTTCTAGATGATGTGAGTTTTATGTTGACTTTTTACTTTCTCGTATACAGGATATAGAGGAATTATTGTAATCGTGCACAAAATCACCTGAAATTTTGACAGTTTTCACAGTTTTACTTCTCAGTACTTATCATATACGGAGCATAGGGGACTTATTTTAATCGAACTAAAGTTCTAAATCCACATTTATTAAAATGTCGTTATCTGTCCTAAACTTTCTCGAATATTCTTATGTAACACTACGGGGGACGGCAACTGGGGATATAGACATGCTTTTTTAATAAATCTTGACTTGGTTAAATTTTTAGTACAAAAGTGTATCTTGTAGAAAAAAGAAATGCGCACCAACTAAACTGCAAACAATGCTTTTTAAATAGTACCGAACATTAGTACCTTATAAATTCAAATGCATATTTTGAGAAATATTAAATTAAAACGTAATGTATTACTTCCAGTCAAAAGAAAATACTAACTTTTTTTAACATAACAGAGAATTAATTTTTTTTACTTCTAAGTGGAATTTCATCTGTCTTACAAAAATAGTACGGAAGTTAAAGGTTTTTGAAAAATTTAAAGTACAATAAGTTCCACTTCCGTTTACGGCAAATCAGTGAAAAGTTGATACACAACTACAAATGTGATGTAATACTTATACATGAAATTTTATAAACTTAGCTGTAAATATACCCAAGTTGTTGTAATCACAGACACATAGACACACAAATACGCACACACAGACATACAGACAATATTGCAAAAAGTATGGGTTTTTTTCCGCCACAGGAAAGTGTTAAGCGTTGAGTTATATGAAAATCTAGATTTCGATTTTTTACACGATTACAATACTTCTTCTATATTCTTATGAAACTGATTTATTTAGAAAACTAGCCTTCCGTCCAGGCCCTGCACTGGGCTCTGTAAAGGACCATAATTTATGTTTATTAAGCAGCATATACCCGTCATTGCTCGAGTTTAGGTAATATGTCACTTTTGGATTTAACCCTAACCACAACCAATCAAAACCAAAACACACAAAAAACGCAAAAATAACGCAAACACAAACACAAAGGTAACACAAACACAAAGGAAAAAACAAATACAAACGCTAACACAATTAATAACACAACCATAAACGCAAAAACAAGCACAAATACACACACAAACACAATCCCAACCAAAAACACACACCCGACTATAAACACAAATAAAAATCAAAATACAAACGCAAACGCAAACGCAAACTAAAACATAAACACAAACGCAAATATAAATACAAATGGAAAAACAAAACGCAAACCTAAACGGAAACAATATCTCAAAGTAATGGGGCGCCGGTAGACATGCCTGGATCATTTAGTGAACTATTATAATACCCCCAGCTTGTCCCGAAAGATAGAAGTAAACATGGAGGACTATTAGGAGGACTGTTATCGATTTTAAATAATAATTAGTAAACAGTACGTTCAGTGTATAATATAAATAAAAGACAGTATTTAAAATATTCGTGTTTTACTTACCACATTTCATTTTATCAATTTATGCTAAGTATATATATATTTTTTTTCAAACACAAAAACAAACTAATAAATTTGTCCCCCCTTCCACCCCCCCCCCTCCGCGGATGTAATGTTTTTTTAACGGGAAGCAATTTTTTTTGTCATCTTTCGCGAGAAATAATCGGCAATAATGGAAAAATATAAGAAATTTGTAAACTTTTCAATTTTTTTTAGGATGATACATTTTCTAATACTTTGCTTATTACACTTAAGTTAAGGTTAATTAAAATGATATGTTTGGAAAAAGACCTTTATTGTATTATAACACCATCCATGGTATTTTTTAAAAATCATTCATTTAGATAATATAATCTTTAAGAATATGGCGATCAAGTCAAGTTTTTTACTATATGTTTCTGTTACCAAGAGTCCGTCCCCTGTCACAGATAAACAGAGGCACAAAATCCGTTATGGCTTTGTATATTAGATCTGGTGCCCTGTCAAAACGGCCCGGGACAAATCGGCCCCGTCAAAACGGCCCCGTTAATACGACCCCGTCAAATCGACTCCCGACAAACCGACCCCGTCAAAATAGCCCCGTCAAAAGGGCCCCGACTTATTGGCTCCCGTCAAATGGGCTCCCGTCATATTGACTTGCGACATATAGGCTCCCGACAAATGGGCTCCCGATATTTAGGCTCCCGACAAATTGACTCCCGACATATTAACCCCTGACAAATAGGCTCAGGACATATTGGCTCCCGACAAAGCGGCTCCCGACATATTGGCTCCCGACATAAGGGCTCAAGACAAATGGGCTCCCGGCAAATGGGCTCACGATATCTTGGCTACCGACAAATGGGCTCCCGACCGATTGGCTCCCGGCAATTGGGCTCCCGACATATTGGCTTTTGACAAAATGACTCCCGACATATTGGCTCCAGAAAAATGAATGATATGACCACTATTGGCATAAAAGTAACCATTGTGTCCTACCTCCAATACCACCATAACCTCTTTTTAATGCCCGAATGAAATTATTTTTTCATGAACCAACATTAATTCACAAACAAATCGAGCCCTTAACAGCTAAATTCCACCAATTCTAAAGATTTGATAATGTTTAATTTACAACAGAAAGATCTGTTGCTTAAAAGCGAACACAGAAGTGTAAATGTATGATATACATGATGTTAACATGATAACAGCATTTTGTTTTGATAACCTACAAGCACAGTGGCGTAGCGAGGTCGGGTGTCACCCCCGGGGACAAACTTTCAAGTTTTTGATTTGCACCCCCCCCCCAAACTTTCGATTTGCACCCCCACCCCCTCAACTTTTTCTCTATATATTTTGCTATTTTTCGCCTTGGTGTCACCCCCCTAAATGGTGTACCCCGGTGCGGTCCGCATCCCCCGCACCCCCCCCCTCGCTACGCCCCTGTACAAGCATATTGCAGTTAGGAAGGTACAGCGTGGACCCTTCTCCCCACACAATGAGTTGGAACAGCCTATAACCGACTCAATTATGGATGTCATAGATAGATGACCCTTAAATTAAAACATACTATATTTTATAATAGATAAACTAATATAAAAATAAGGCCTGCCGAACAAGAGATGCATACGTTGTATTACATAAGAGTGTTGGATAAGCTAACTCTAAAGAATATTGATGAAGGCGTCCCACTGGCAGACGTCATATTCAATGAGACCGCTTTGCCGGGAGACTTAGTCTCTACAGAAACGGTATTGTCAGTGCAGTGGCGTAGCTAGGATTTTTGGGCCCCTATGCAAAAATTATCAGCCGTTAGGCCAGTGGCGTCGCTAGGTCGGGTCTCACCCGGTGCGGCACTTCGTATTGTCACCCCCCTCCCAGGAAACAAAGCATATATATATATATATATATATATATATATATATATATATATATATATATATATATATATATATATAGGCCTATATATGTATGTATATATATATATATATATATATATATATATATGTGTGTGTGTGTGTGTGTGTGTGTGTGTGTCGGCCTACATAGGCCTAAAATTTATATATATGCCACATACTGGTACACGTACGTGTTTAAGCTTTAATCACTGCTGACTTAATAGTAACGATGTTTATCTGCAGTCTGTTTATAATACAGTTGGATGTAGCATTGTTTACTTTATAGTTTACGTTTACGTCGTGGTGTCACACCCCCCCCCCCCCTCCCCTCTTGATATAATTTTCGATTTGTACTTAGAAGACTATTTAACTTTAATGGATCTGGAAAATGGCATTTCATTCTATAAATTTTACAATTTTTTGCCTTTGGTGTCACCCCCCGTAAATGGTGTCACCCGTTGCGGTCCGCACCCCCCGCCTCGCCTTCGCTACGCCTCTGCGTTAGGCTACAGAGGAGTTAAACGAAGAGATCAACTTCTACTTACGATGGATATTTTTTAATATATAAATATTCTGAAGGCAACATTTTGTATTTTATATGTCCTGATTTTGTATTTATACTGTATTATTATGCTTGCCTACTACTGCTAAAAAGTTTATTTATAGGCTGATTCTCTCAATGTCTTGCACGACAAAGTGATATAGCCTGTAGTGTTATTATAACGATTGGGCTCTGTTCGACCCACAAACACTGAATCCCACTGCCGAAACGGTGGGGGGCTTTTTGGAACTTTTAACCTTTTTCTTTTTTAAAATTATTTAAATGTAACAAATATTAAAATTCCATTGTAAAAGTTTTAATTTTTTATGAGGGAAAAGGGCCCCTATGTGCCTTCGGCCCACATGCCTTGCTTACGCTAGCTTTACGGTAGCTACGCCACTGTGTCAGTGGTCCTTTTGTCTGGAGCCAAATTGACAGGAGCCTTTTTGTCGGGAGCCAAAATGACGCTAGCCTATTTGTCGGGAGTCGTAATGACGGGGGCCGTTTTGTGGAAAAAACTAAATGACGGGAGACTATATGTCGGGAGCCAAAATGACGGGAGCCTATTTGTCAGGAGCCTTATTGACTGGAGCCCTTTTGTCGGGAGCCTATATAACGGGAGCCTATTTGTCGGTAGCCTAAATGACGGGAGCCTATTTGTCGGGAGCCTATATGACGGGGTCTATATGTCGCTGGCCCTTTTGACGGGGCCGATTTGACGGGGTCGTTTTGACGGGGTCGTTTTGTCGGGGTCGTTTTGACGGGGCCGTTTCGTCATTGGCCGAATTGACGCCGCACGATTAGATCTATAACAGAATAACTGAATGTTTGTGTCGAAAATGAATAAAAAGATTTTACCACAGACCCACCCTTAATTTAATAACCTTATATATATATATATATATATATATATATATATATATATATATATATATATATATATATATATATATATATATATATATATATATATATATAGTTATTTAGTTATTTAGTTATTTAGTTATTTATTTATTTATGTATTTATATATTAGATTTTAAACAGAATATCTGTCGAAATTGAGTTAAAGGATTTGACCTAAAACCCACCCTTCACTTAATTCCCTTACAGAGAGATATAGAAATCGATATAATAAACGGTGTACTAAACTAAAGCTTGTAAATTGCGAAGTTTTATTGTGCTGAATAAATTTTCCGCTCTTTTTTTCAGGTGCGCCTTACTCAGCACGTGACACCTAGTGTTGAGGTACGTTAATCTGAGTAGCTTAATTTTAGAAACACATTGTTTTTAACACTAAGATATAGCTATGAAAAAAATGTACTAGTGATAGTTTAATGCATTTAGAATGCAAGAGAACTGCCTTATTAAAAGAATTTTGCTAGGCTGTGGGAACGTTATATTCCTGCTGCCAGCCAACAGCTTTATTCTGAAGATAGGGTTTGGTTCTTGAGTTGGACACACTTTCATACATCCTATTTGTAAAATGGGAGCAAAGGGGCTGCGTTCAACAAAAGTCTTAATATTATTAAAACATGGTAATGTGGAGAATCGCTAGACTGCTTGCCCGAATGTCTGGAGTTCGGATCTCGGTCCAGACTCCGACTACTGGTTGGACTGAGTTCACCAATTTCTGATAGGTACGTAACTCATATTGGGGAAAGTAAAGACTACTGGTTAGACTGAGTTCACCAATTTCTGATAGGTACGTAACTCATATTGGGGAAAGTAAAGGTGGCTGGCATTGTGTTTTCAACACCATTTATACAAATGCCTAGGTCTAAAAACATTGAAATTATACTTATTTTGCATATGGATCATTAGATCTTAAACGAGAAATGTATTTTAACTACTACATTTAAAAACGTAATATATTAAATCATCGTAATCAACTGTTTCCCTTCTACCACAGTACTATTTCAAATTTAACAGCTGGATATCCAACAGAAATCGAATATTTAAAACTGTTTCAGTTTAACAATAGGAAAATGTAAAAACCCACCTTGGTAGACAGTTTGTGAACTAAAATTTTGAACTTGGCGCATTCATTATTTTTAAATTTCACTTAGTTTAAGTCATTGGATCAAAATGTTTTATGTAGAGTTTTTAAGACAACAAATATTTTTTTTAACATGAAATTAAAATAAATTCTAGCATTCATGAATCAATTGTTTTTCTTATGAGTGTTTTGATATTGGTCTGTGATGATGACTTGCGTTGTTTGAATGTAATGTTGATATGAGGTGTTGGTTTCTAATGTATGGTTTTAATTTCTGCTTGATGTTGTTCTGTTATGTTGGTCATACAGCTATGTGTTACGACTATTGCTGTTAGTAAATTGAAACTCTAAATTTGATTTTTATGTGTGCCTGTGTGTATTTTCTCACAAGCATGTTACTATTTGAGTACATCATTCACTCTACTACCGATTACTCCCTGCCATTCTCTTCCCGCCATTACCCCTCCCAGATTTAGTAGCTCCTCTCCAAACCACATGAAATAACTTTGTATTGATGTGCCCTGCGGCGATAGACTGCTAACCCGAAATTCTCGAGTTCGAATCCGGGTTCACGTTAAAATGTCCCTAATTACAACAACCTCTGATGGGTACCCAATTCACGCTTGGAAAAATAAACCCGACTAGTCATAGTGCTGACCAAATCATCCCTTCATATGCCACGGTCAAGGTAAAAAACATGAATTCTACATCATCTGCCGTTAGATCTAAAGAGTAATGATTACTTTACAATTTTCCCTGTAGTAAGTACCGATTATTGAAACTCCTATTATACATGTCGGACGAATTGCTGAGCGCATGCTTAGCGTTTTCAAGCACACGATTCCGCTTAGTTCTACAGAATCATGGCTTTTAAAGTTTATTAGTAGATAAACTTTGTTCAGGTCTTTGAATCTGTAGTGCGAAATTTCCAGTGTGTTGTTTCATTGTCTGGCTCCCACTGAACTTTGTTTGGCTGGTATAACATTGACAGTCTGCACGGTTGGGGCATGACAATTTTAAAACTGCGGTGTAGCAGACGAGAGAGAACAGTAGCAAAGATCATCCATTTTTGCCAGTCCCCCCAGCCTCCACACTGACCACAACCCGTACGAAGAAACACAAGATATTTTACAGTTCTACTTTATCTACAAGTACCTTGTGAGGGATTGAAAGGGAAATATGGTAAGGAAGTTGGAGAAGGGTGAGGGAGGAAGTTATTGGGAGAAGGGTGAGGGAGGAAGTTGTTGGGAGAAGGGTGAGGGAGGAAGTTGGTGGGAGAAGGGTGATGGAGGAAGTTGGTGAAAGAAGGGTGGGGGAGGAAGTTGTTGGGAGAAGGTTGAGGGGGTAGTTGGTGGGAGAAGGAGAAGGGTGATGGGGGAAGTTAGTGGGAGAAGGAGAAGGGTGAGGGAGGAAGTTGTTGGGAGAAGGGTGAGGGAGGAAGTTGTTGGGAGAAGGGTGAGGGAGGAAGTTGGTGGGAGAAGGGTCAGGGAGGAAGTTGGTGGGAGAAGGAGAAGGGTGAGGGAGGAAGTTGGTGGGAGAAGGGTGAGGGTGAGGGAGGAAGTTGGTGGGAGAAGTGTGAGGGTGAGGGAGGAAGTTGGTGGGAGAAGTGTGAGGGAGAAAGTTGTTGGGAGAAACTAAGGGGAGAAAATAACATATTCTGGCCTGTAAACTGTCGTCACGAACGGCTGCTTTCACGGAGTCGGGGAGAGGTGTGGAAAGTGAAGGTGAGGATAATCGTCATTCACTTGGCCCCTAGCTACTGATAGTGTTTTATAACAAAATCTATATTTATAATTCTCTTCTGGGATCAGTTAGAAAACAAGCTGCAAGCGCGCCTTTGCAGTCCCCTCTCTTCCTCTCTATCAATATCACTACCACCCCCACCCCACCCCCACATGATCTGGTGAGCGGTGTTCACTCTGTTTACATTTTACAATCACAGAGACGGGTTTGGTGACGGCTATTAGGGGCAGATAATTTAGTTTGAAACGATTTTAAACTTAGAGGCGGTAACTAAGAGGAGGCTGCTTTCACGTGGGGGGGGGGGGTAGTGTTTTTAAGCAAATATTTTCAATGGCAGCATTGGTACTGTCGAATTCACAAATTATAAATTACTGAAAAGTAGAAAAAAAAAAACTAAATAGCGGCGTATGATACGCAGCGGGTCGGCTCGTAGGAATTAAACTAAATAGCGGCGTATGCGACGTCGCGGGTCGGCTGGTTATTATTAAAGCGACTAAAAGTTTAGTCTCGAATAAAGAATAATTGATGTGTATCAGTGAAATAAACTTGACCAATGTCCAGCGTCGGAAACGGAGTGGTCATACGGCAGATACTTCTAGAAATGAAATATTATTTAATGTAGGGCTAGTATCGGACGGTGCATTCGGCTTAAGCCGGACATTTAATGTATATGTTCGCTTCCAATTGTATAGAGGGACAGATTTTGGCGTCTACTCATTGGTGTGGGCTAAGGTTAGGTTTCTGCTATCACGAAAATGTAACCTGGACTTGGTTGTATTTATTGGAGCAAATATAAAATATTGGTTTTATATTGGCAGGTTTTTTTTCAATCTTTCAAATGGTATATTTTATTTTGTATTATTATTACTGAAAACTGTTAGTATACTTTTGATTAGAATGCCTTTCTGTGTTGGGAGACAATGAAAATAAAAGTGAGATCCTCTGCCATATTCTGCTTTGTAAACAGGACATCCTTTCTAGCAAAATATAAACTTGTTTTAAGTGTACCTTGGACGTAGGGAGACTCCTTTTTTTAAGTAGATTTTCTTGCCATGCATTGGTCAACAAAAAACTTACGTTTGGGTGATGTACGTCACGTTAGCGGCCTTAAAAAATGGTGAGTTGCTTGTTTTATTCTAACGCAGAGGTTCTCAAATTTTCTTCTAACAAAGTGCTTCTCTAACTTACTCTAGTACAGTGCTTCTCAATATTTTCTCAACCACAACCAATAACACGAACACAAATATTGAACATGAATATGAACAGGGGCGGAACTACAGTGCCGCCAGACCACGCATTGCGGGGTGGGGGGGGGGGCAGGCCGTTTAGGGGCCCACGGCTGACCATAATTAATATTTTTTTTTAAATTTGAATTTAATTTTCGTGCATTTTTGCCTTGATATTTGGTTTGTAAAAGAAAACCACTGTAGCTGCGGTACGATTATCTTTATTTTACAGTAACTATACCACGCTCTTCCGCAAAAAAATAAAATAAAATCCATTACACAAACTACAGTGTAAAATATAGGCAACTCTTCAAAAATTAATGACTTCTTAGACTCGTTGCCCCCCTTTGATAGCTAAATTGAGGACACGTAAGTGTTTGACCGATCCTCCAAAGTGTACTGTGGCGGATGGGGCAGGGGATGGGGACCAAAAAGGGGGCTCACAAATTGTCGTCAAATTTTTTATATATTTAATAAAGCTATTTATAGTTGTATTTTTTAACCATCGTCAAGGCCGAGTTCTATTTCCCTACAATCAAACACACGCTGTCGCCGGCAAAATTCTTTTTCAAAAAACAACAAAGTCCATATCACGAGAAGCCGCTACATATGAAGTGGACTTTCATGATGCGCGGTTCTTCTTTTCGGCAGTAGTTAGGGACCCGAAATCCATTGTACATTTTTCAATGTTAATATGTGTTTGTGATAGTGGTTGAACTTGTTTCCTGTACTATCTTGTATCCTACAAATAATAAAAAAAATATATAATACTAGAAACTTCGGATTTATGTACGTTTGCTTGTTTTTGCTTTTACAAGAAATATCATAGTAAACTTTAAAGGCCTCTAGTTGGAATTATCTCCCCTGAGTAAGTTTTACAAATAGGCGATGCTGACGTACATTGGCGTTTTGTTGTCTCTTTCAAGATTTTTTCCCGAGCCAACCCCCATCCCATCCCTCTTTTTTAGCCTCGCAAGTATCGAGTAGATCAATGTATCGTTTATGAACTACTTCCTAACCGTACGTTCACCACTTCAGCACATTTTGTCAGACACTAGACAGCACTAGTCAACAGATATTAATTTACTTGCATAGTATTAGGCACACATCTAATTCACAAAACAGGGAAGGTAAGATTATTTTTTATATAATTATTTAGAAATTAATTAGAAAGTTTTGAATGGCTTTTTGTTAGTCGTTAAAAAATGTGACATCATTTGCGAATTCCCCCTCCCCCCCCCCCCCCCCTCATTGTGAAGCATTATCCAAAAAGGTTGATTTTAAAAAAATTGTCTGTCCATAGGGAAAAAAATTCTCTTCAATTCATACTATTTTCAGCACACGTGTTTTTGAATGACTACAGAAAAAAATGTATGTAAAATTTATTCCAATACAATACTTTGTCAGATATCCATGTGTTGATTAGACTGATTACACACAATATGATTTTATAGGGTTCTTATGATTCTGTACAATCCAGTGGATTTGGACAAGCAGCGGTATAACCCTTACATATTACACAGTGTAGACCTAGAGGTGATAGTGCTTACAGCACTGTTTAGAAAAAAAAGTTTCAAATTTTCTGTTTTTTGGGTCTGTCAGGGAGTGTATCTATAAAAAAGGACAACTTGAGTACAATTTCAGATATGTTGACGAAATTTCGTTTATAGGTTTTATGTTAGGCCTGTATAGCTCTGTATTAAATTTGGAATGATTTCAAATAACCGGAAATGGTAAGTTAAGTACAGTATCAATTAGGAAGAAGAAAATTCATATATAAGACTTTATACTTGGATTTTTTCAAGTTTTGAGTGAAGTGTTACTTAATTTTATATTGGTTAAAAAAACAGATACTTTTAATACCTTAGTTAGATGAGCCAAATTGTATACATAGGTATGAGATATGATTTTCTTGATTCTGTCAACTATTAAGTGATTTCCGTGAGTGGAAGTAGTGATTTACGTTATTTCCAATTTATCAAAAAAGGAAATTCAGTGTTTCTATAAACTACTAATTTTATAATACGCACAGTTTTCGTTTAATTCTACGGATATGAGCGAGTTTACGATAATCCTGACATCAGTATAGTTGAATAAAAATCATGTTTTTTTTTTTAAAATAGGATTTTGCAATCAAACCAATTATAAAAAGTATTTAAACAATAAAACTTAAGCCTTAAAATAGTTTAGAAAGTTTTTAATTAAGAATCAATTTTATAAAAAGTTGTAAATTGCACGAACTTGAAAATAATTTTTAAGTTTAAAGCAATATTTGTGTTTTTTTTTCATCAAACCAAAGTTATAAGATGTAGCTACACTTTCATATTAAAAACTCTGATTTGTTTTTAAAACCATATAACACAGTTTGATTAAAATGTAAACAAAGAACTTGTTTTTGGCTTTTAAAAAAAATTACTTAATTACCGAAAATACTGAAAACATCAATCACGTCCAAAAAATCAGTTTTTATAATCATGTTTAATCATGTTTATTATAATAACAAATGGACGGAGTGGTCTATCGGTAGAGAGCTGGACTGCTAACCCGTGGTCTAGCGGTAGAGAGCTGGACTGCTAACCCGTAAGTCTCAAGTTCGAATCCGGGTTCAAGTCAGTAGACCGTCCCTGAGTCCACCCAGCTCTGATGGGTACCTAACTCACGTTAGTTAGAGTAAAGGCGGCTGGGCATAGTGCTGACCACACAATCTCTTCATATGCCGAGGTCACAGAAACAAGTGAACTCTACTTCACTTGCCCCATAGACCACCAGGTTTGAAAGGGAAATTTACTTTTTACTTTATTATAATAACATCGTGTATGATTTTAAACATATTTATAGACCTTTCGAAAATTTCTAGACTATTCTTGGTTGTCTCTATTGGTGTTCACTTACTTTGTTCTGCTCGGTTCTATTATATTTAAAGGATGTAACTTTAAAGAAAAAGAAAGTAATATCCTTTTCTAAACAAAAAACTAAATTTAATTTATTTTTCGCGTATTAAAAAAATTAAATAACCATTTTTCCTTTTGTAATATCTTTTATGGCTTTGTCTTGCAAGTTAAATAATTGACCATATATACATATTATCCGCTGTTAAAATGTAAGTTGTAAGCACGCTTATCTGATAATATTTATGTTACACAAAGTAGACTTGTAACTTCGTGGTTTGACGGAAACTAAAATCAAGCTGAGGCTTGATATTAATTTTTATTTTAAAGGTGGAAGCCTCGACATTAAAAAACAAATGGTATTGGTTTAATAGTAACCAAGATAGAAAGCAACACCTTTTCTTTTAGCGTATCCTTTGTTTTCGTGATAGTCTACACTGCAGAGCTAGGCAAATAGGTGGATCGAACCTAAGGACAAATTAACCTTCGATCAACGAGTCATAAGGTACACTTTGACCAGCGGAGAAAAGCGGTTGATTTCAACACATCTATCGGTACTCTGTCACCGTTAATTTGTTACAGGTCACCCTGTAGTCAATAGTGTAGGGTTAGAAAAAGTCACGTATGTATGTAAATATTTATAGGTGTGTCTGGGAAAAAACATACGTGTGTCTGAAAAAGAAATTGGTAAGTCTAGAAAAATGTATTGGTGTGTCTAGAAAAATTCATAGGTTAGTCAAAAAAAAAATAACACTCATGTCTAGAAAAAAAAATACGGGAGTGATCAAAATTTTAGGTGTCTAAAAGATGTCTAGAAAAAATTTATTGGTGTGTCTAAAAGGCGTAGAAAAATTAATAGTTTAGTCAGGAAAAAGTAACATGTGTGTCTAGAAAATATTTTATAGGAATGACCAATATTTATAGGTGTCTAAAAGATCATAGTTGTGTCAAGGAAAAAATGTATAGGTGTGTTTATAAAAAAGTTATAGGTGTGACTAGATCAATAATAACAAGTTTAGGATTAAAATTATAATTACATTTGTGTTGCAAACAGATGGGTTTTGAAACAAATACTTGGATTAAATAGACAGCGGCTAATTTTAGATTTCAGGGTGAAATGCCCGTAAGGTGGATACAAGCTATACAGCTTCGAGAGTATCCTTTGTTTTCGTGATACAGTACTGACCTAAGCAAATTTCATCTGGGTAATTAAATATTGACTAACATTTTGAAAGTTGAGTGTTTACCCAGTGCAAACAGGTTGATCTCCACGCCGTTATCGGTACCCTGCACCGTAGGCAACACTTTAGGGTTAGACACTGTTACTGTTGTGTTACGATCCCCTGGTATGTTTACCTGGTCCGACCTTATTGAAGGGGAGGACGGCCATAGTTTAGGTAGGCAGATGACCAGCGCCTGATCGTCGCTATTAGGCTGGACAACATGCTCGTAGACTGATCATCTAGGTCAGGCCAGAGTTGTGATTTATAGCTGTGAGACATCTGGTATCAATTTTAAATAACATATTTATATTAAAATTACTTTCTGTTTATTCATTTTATTCATTTTTTTAACCGATTTAGTCAACAAATATCAACATATGATTTAAAATATACTAACTGGTAAGTTGGTGTCCTACTTTAAAGCCATTTTGATCCCTTGATGTGCCCCGCTCATGGTGTCATCCATAAATGAAGTAACGCTTTTATACGATTTCCCCCCTCCTCCCCTTCGTAACACATCGTCACAAAAGGCAAGACCCCCCACCCCTAAAATGATGTCACACGTCAGCTAACAACCCCTTCAAAATTGCAGTTTAATTTTTCTTAAATTATCGATATTTTTTTTAAAATCTTGTGTGAACTCTGTCAGCATAGAGTACTTTAATCAATTCCTATTACAGTTTATTAAAACAGCTTTTTTCAAAAACGCGAAATAACAGATAAAATTCGTTTTCGCACATTGCTATTTTATAACGCAAAAGTGTGACGTCAAACCATCTGACCCCCTACCCCTCATAACATACCGTCACAAAGTTACGGACCCCCCCCCCCTGTCATGTATCGACGACCACCATGTTAAACTAAAGCCCTGTATCTGCACAACATAAGCTAGAAAAAAATAAAAAGTATAACGGTAGGCCTATATAAACTGTGTATACCGTATGTATACATATTGTATCACTATTATTAGGTCGATGAAATAACATTTAAAAATTTCAATAACAGAAGTGTTACAAATGATATTATGATGTAGCAGTAATGCAAGCTTAAATATGTACTCTGGAGTAAACTTTAGACAAATATTTATTGATTGTCAATAAAACTTAATTAGTCTACAAGGCTTTTTAAGTAGGTTGTTTTTCTGCGCTGAGACCATACACAGAGAAAAACGAAGATGATGCAAATGGCAGCGATCTTTGGTGTGCACTGTCTGTTGGCATTCATACGACCAGGTATTTTTTGTCTTCATTATGTCACTAGCCCAGGGGTGGAACTACAGTGCCGCCAGACCCCGCAATGCGGGGCAGCCCAGCAATTTAGGGGCCCATAGCCGACCATAATAAAAATTTCATAGTTAAAAAAAAAATTTCTTGCACTTTTGACTTGACGGTAAAAGCTTTTGTAAATAACAGATAGATCTGCTGCAGTATTTATGTTATACAGTAGCTAACACATGCTGTTGCGTAAAAAAAAAAATATGCCTGAGCTGTAGTGTGAAAGATAGGCAAACGTTCAAAATACTTCCATGACTTATTTCCCTTTTTTAAATAGTTAAATAGGGGTGCTCATAAGCTCCTTTTAATATATTTGTACTAAACAAATTAAAAAGCAATTACTTCTTTTAATTGTTATACTAAAGAATAATATAGCATAAAAAGGAAATATGTTTAAAACAAATAAAATAAAAAACAAAAAAACATAAAAGTAAACATGACACGAGAAACCATTACACCAGGGGTCTCCAAACTACGGCCCGCGGGCCGGATGCGGCCCGCCAAGTCCTCTCATCCGGCCCGCGGAGATCTTTTTGTCCAAGGAAAAATCGTTTGTCGGTGATTGCTGAGGAACTTTGCCCAAAAATATCAAAGACATGCCTGGAAGAAACTGGCCCCCGACCTAATATTTTATAGTCAATGCGGCCCCCGGACTGAAAAGTTTGGAGACCCCTGCATGATTACACAAACAAAGCTTTCACGTTGTATATTCTTTTGACCGGTTAATACCTTAGGGGTATGCAATATTACAGCATACACATTGAATAAACTAGTTCTAAAGCAAGCTCTTTGCTAAGTAGAGTTTCAGAGAAGATGGAGAAACCAACATTTCAGCAAAAATTGAAATCTTTAGGATTATTTCTCTGGAATGGGGAGACAAAGGAATTTTTAGGCAGGGGTGGAAGAAGCTGGGTTGAAATTGGTATTTTCTACCTGGTATTTTATTCCTGCCTGGCTGGATTTTTTATTGCTACTATTGCTGTTTTCTATGAGACCATTGATGCAGACCAGCCCAAATTACAGGGAGATAGCAGCTTGTTAAAAGGAAATCCTGGTTTGGGATATCAACCTATGCCAGATATTCAAACTACACTTATATATTCAGAGAACAATGTTAATGATAGTAAAGAATATGTTAAAAGCATCAATAAAGTTCTAGCTGAGTACAGACAAACAGATTTAAACAATGTGGACTGTAGTGGTATAGACAAACCTAGACTTGATGAGCAGGTAGCTTGCCGATTCAACTATTCTGCTCTCACAGAACAATGCAATGAGAAAAATGGTTATGGAATGCTTGAGGGGAAGCCTTGCATATTGTTAAAACTAAACAAGATCTATGGGTGGGTACCTGCTGTATGGAAAGAAGAAGAGGTCAATGCAGTTGCAAGGGTCCCGGGCAATGTGAAATCTGCATACACACCTGATCGTATCTGGGTGGATTGCCATGGAGAGAATGCCCCTGACAATGATAACTTAGGTGCTGCTGAAGACATTAGTTATTTTCCTGAGCAAGGATTCCCCCTGGCGTTTTACCCTTACAAAAATCAAAAAGACTACAGATCACCCCTTGTTTTTGTCAAGTTCAATACTGTGGTTCATCATGTTGGAATCATGGTTGAATGTGTAGCCCTGGCAAAAAACATCAATGTTGACCGTACAGAGAAAGAAGGCAGTGTGCATTTTGAGTTGCTTGTGGAGTCCTAGTTCTGCTCACTTGATGGTTGTTTTTGTCTCTAGTCTTTTCTTGAAAATTTAAAGTACCCTTCTTTGACAGCCTTTTGCCCTTATGTACTGCCATTCATTTTAAAAAATGGTTTCTTGCAGTTGTTGTCATTTGCACATCAGTTTAGTTTTTTTTTTAAAGTAGTAAATGAATGAAATCCTGTGCTATCTACTTGAAAAAAATTTGAAGTCTCTTGTTTCTGTTATTTAGTGTCAGTTTCTTGTTTAATGAGTAAATATCTACCTGTGACATTTGTCTTGCCTACAATTCCAGTTGTTTATTCTCAAAACTTATAGACCAGATCTGAAAATTAAAGTTTTTTTTTTGGATTATGCATTCATCTCTCACTTATTGGTATGCACAAATCTGATTTAAGCTTTTAAAAATATTAGAATAGGGACTCTGCTCCAATGATGTTGTTCCTCTTGCTGTATTAAAGGCTTTACACTATCCTCATTGGTACACTCATAACCTTTTATGAGGGTGTGTTGTGTGAATGCATAGTCTAGTAGTTCTGTTGTGTGGGTAAAAAAAGTAAATAAAAGTTCTCAGTTCACAGTTTGCATTTTTATACTGTATATTTAAGGTGTGAATGCTTATTTAGTTTTTTAACCAGATGAATGCATTTCCTATTACAATTTATTTTTTAAAAATTGTTTTTATAGTCGGAATTTTCTACACAATAAAGATTTTTATGAAGCAAAAAAAAAAAATTATAAAAAAATAAAAAAATAAACCAATTTCGAAACAGACTAATGCACACACACATGAACTGTTGTAATTTGTTTAGATTGAAAAAAACATTTTTCTTTTCAAAACCCGATCAGGCCAGAAATGAGTATCCAGTGTTTGTATTCCGTGTGTGTGTGTATATATATATATATATATATATATATATATATATATATATATATATATATATATATATATATATATATATATATATATATATACATATATATATATATATATATATATATATATATATATATATATATGTATATATATATATGTATATGTATATATGTATATATATATATATATATATATATATATATATATATATATATATATATATATATATATATATATATATATATGTATATATATATGTATATATATGTATATATATATATATATAGGGGTCAAGAATTCAATCCGTAGCCTAGAAAATGATTTGTAAAAAAGAAAAACGCGTTTGTTTTTTCATGGCTATGATGATAAGACTAATTTCAGTGATACGGTGGGTTAGCTTTTCAGGAATGTTGCTGTGACGCTATTGAACATTTACTGCCTTTCAGTAGAAATGTGTCGTCTGCTAGATTTCTCCCCATTCAGCAAGGCCCCTATAGGACGGGCAAAATGGGCGTGTTTAGTTAGCTGTTGTCTCCATCAATTTATTTTTTATAGACTTTGTTTTTACCCACCATGATTTTGAAACATTAATGACACTAGTTTTGTAGAAAGCAAGTCATAATTTAAATAATTTAGAATATATTTTCAGTTTGTTTAGAAAAATATTAAATGAAGCAATTAACGTTTTGCTTACTTTTATTCTCAGCGATTAGACCAAAAAAAGTACACATGGCAAGTTTGCATCAAACACTAATCGTCCATTGTTAAAACTAGACCAGTATCGTTAAATAATACGCAAAAATAACGATTTTAAGTAGGCCTATATATTTCTCAAATGACAATGAAACATTATTAGATTGTAAGCTACTATCCAACGATTGTCGATGTCGTATTTGCCAACAATGGCAGTTGTGCACTGTCTTCGGCGGTGTATGGGGTACCCTTGTGTGTTTTCTTGAGTATCGGCGTTGAAGTCCTTTGAGAAATTTTTGGTGTACTTGCCGTCTTTCATGCAAGATGAGCTGGCATTGAACGTGCCACACGGACCATGTACCATGCATTTAGTGACAATTTGGAAAAGTCAAGGATGTATTTGAGGATTTGGAAGCTCAGCGCAGACATATTTGTTTATGTCATCTTTGGTCCTTATTTTGCACTGTGAATCAAGTGTCAGTAACATATGACAATGAGGCAAGCCTCGTTTTTGGAACTCAATGCCGAAAATGTATGCGACTACATTGTCGAAAATATTCCTCTCCAGAATGTCAGTTAGGAACTCCCGCAGTTTGATATGAAAGACGCTTGCAACGACATCAGTTCTGTGTTCTGGTCGCTCATGATGGGAAATGGTGTTAGAGATTTCCGGCCAAGCAGGATTGCAGGTGAATGTTAGGAATAAGTCAGGCTTGCCACATTTGCGGACACTCGCCATCGCGGCTTGGTAGTTCTGTTACATGTACCGTGGACTGCCTTGAAACGTAGAGGGAGGAAAGATCAACGGTCCAGAATGAATGTTATTGTCTTATGTATATATATATATATATATATATATATATATATATATATATATATATATATATATATATATATATATATATATATATATATTCTGTCATTTTCCGCAGCGTGTTCTGAAAACATCGACTACACGATAACCATAAAAACCGCTGACCGAGCCAATGCCGGCACTGATGCTGATGTATTCATTAATATTTTCGGCTCCTACGGTTCGACCGGCAGAAAGGTCTTGCCTGATCAGACGGCCGGCCATTTTGAGAGGGGCGACGTGGACACATTTGTGGTGAGCGTTTTGTGACGATGTGTGACGTCTTGTTACAATTTGCTGTATAGATAAATAGAAGTTTTTTTTAGCCTACGCAGTTTAGAGGACCGAACCTTTTTACAAGATCTAAACTGATTCCTTGTCATGTCTGTCTTCGTCGTTCCTTCTGTCATAGGCTGAAGCATGCAAACGAATTATGTAATGTGACATCAACTTTCGCTTAGTAGGATTTATAATAATTAAAAAACAATAAAGTACCAAATAGTATCTTGCATTTACACGCCTATGGGTTATGTGGTATTTTGAGTTTATCATTGGAATTATGTTCCAATACAAGAATCTATTTTCCTTAATGTTTTGATATTAATTTTTTTTACTCACTGGAGTCCACGGTATTTAAATATTGGTTCTATTTCCCGGTGTTCTTTTTAAAACTTTTCTTAGTACCAATATATTTGTAACGATGATTTTGATTGGATGGTTTATTTAAATCTCTACTTACGCGTGAAAATAATTTGTGTGTGCATATTTCCCTAGTTACACACCAAAAACGTGGGGCGGATTCGTGCTATCGAGATTGGTCACAACAACCGAGGTCACAAAGCAGGCTGGTTCCTTGACTATGTGAGTAAAACTCTTCCAGCTTTAATTATAACCTAACAATGGTTAAGGGGGAAGGCTCCTGTAAAAAACAACTTTTTAATACTCGTTCGAAAACAGTTTTTTCTTTACAGCTTTATTAAGATACATCCGTATATGCATTTCCACTAAAAAAAATTGGTGAAAAAATCTTGGTAACTGACAACGGCGGCCATGTTGAAAAATTAACCCCTTCGTAGGTTTTCCACCATTACATTTTAAGCCCAATAAACAATTAATTCATAATCTTCTTTCATATTTTGGGGAATTTTGGGGCATTAAAACTAGTGTTTTTAACGGACCCACAATTTGAAAATTCATAAAAAATTAGTTTGAAGATATGCACTTAACATTTTTAGCTGAGTGTCCCAATATATGGAAGAAGATTATGAATTAATTGTTTATTGGGTTTAAAATGTAATATTTGTCATAGTAACCAAGATTTTTCCGCAAATTTTTTTTAGTGGAAATGCATATGCGGATGTATCATAATAAAGCTGTAAAGAAAAAACTGTTTTCGAATGAGTATTAAAAAAAGTTTTTTTTTTTACCGGAGCCTCCCCCCCCTTAATCTTGAATTATCACTCGTCTTAACAATACGATGTTATCTAGTTCAATTTCTTCAGTGTTAAGTCTAAAGGCATAACATAACTTTAAATTTTTTTTTATTAATCCAAATATATTTTATTCATTAATATGAAGAAGTGTGGTTAACTTTCCTTTTATCCTGAATATTTACTTAGGTTGAAATAGTTCAGAAAGTGGCAGCTGTCTTTGACTTCAACATTGTGAGTTTTTAAAACAGTTCTAATTGTTTTTTTAATGTTTAACGGCCAATATTACGAGTGAAACAGTGGCTCAGTCTAATGGGAAAGAGCTAGATAAAAGGTTTAAGATTGAGTAAAATTAACATAAAGAAGTCTGCAATACAAATCACGAATATTCGACGCCTTTCCGTAGAAGCTATCGATTATATATATATATATATATATATATATATATATATATATATATATATATATATATATATATATATATATATATATATATATACGTATCTCTGAAGTCATTAAAATGTGTACAATGTTGATTTCTGTTGGATTAGTATGTAACGTTGCTGTATATTTGTACTCTATGATCATAGGATTTTGCAGTTTCCCGAAACCTTACACTGATACCTAAATAGTAGCTACATTTTGTTTTTCATTTACAGAGACCTGGTACTACCAAGTACCGGTTCGACTTTTATGGCTGGATCGCTAATGATGAGGGTGACGGGCAGCTGGCAAAGACCATATATACTAGTTTCCCTCAGGTCAACCTGGGCTAGACTTGTCTAAAGTCCATTATCTACCGAAATTAAAGATTCAAAATAAGGCAGAATTTTAGTTACAGCTCAGGCTGTGTAAAATAAAAAACAGATGCTTGTTATGAGTTAGTAGTTGTTTAAACATTCGAATCACGCTGCTTTTAATTATAAGATGTAATTGTATTTATCCAAATGAAAAGTAAATTAAAATTATATAACATTCTATAATTGTTCATATGTGTAAGAGTTTGTTTTTACGACTGTTGCTTGTAGTAAATTGAAACTCTAGATTGTATTTTAACAGTGTGTCTATGTTCTCACAACCGTTTAAGTATGTGAGTACACCGTTCACTCTACTACCGATTACTCACTGCTATTCTCTTCCTGCCATTACCCCTCCCAGTTCTAGTAGTTCCCCCTACCCCACATGTCATAGTCTTAGATTTTCTCCGTGAGGACGGAGTGGCCCAGAGGTAGAGCGATAGACTGCAAACCCGGAAGTCTCAAGCTCTAATCCGGGTTCAAGTCAGAAAGTCACTGAGTCCACGAAGATCTGATGGATACCTAATTCACGTTAGGGTATAATGCTGACCACATCATCCCTTTGTATGCCAAGTTCAAGAATTATGAACTCTACTTCAGCTGCCGCTAGATCTAAAGAGTAATCTTTACATTATTTTACATTTTTCCTTGTAGTAATTACCCCATGATCAAAACTCCTACTATACATGTCTGACAAAGTGATGAGAGAATGCCTTTGAATGCTTGGAGTTTTTAGTCAATCTCAGTTCTACAAAATCTTGGCGTTCAATGTTTATTGTTTAAAGAACGTTCAGGTCTTTGAATCTGTAGTGAGAAGTGTCGAGTGTGTTGTTTTCTGTGGGCGGGTCTAAAGTTTCATTGTCCGGCTCCCACTGAACTTTGTTTGGCTGGTAAAACTTTGACAGACTGCACGGTTGGGGCATGACAATTTTAAAACAGCGGTGTTGCAGACGAGAGATAACATAAGCAGAGAACAGCCCGTTTTGGCTGCCCCCCAGCCTCCATTCTGACCATGCCCTGTACAAAGAAACACAACATACATAGTGAGGGATTGAATGGGAATTAGGGTGAGAGAGGAAGTTGGTTGGAGAAGGGAGAAGAGGAAAGCTGGTGGGAGAAAGGTGAGGTTAATGAAACGATAAGAACTGATCGCAGGCTGTAAATCACGTTTCATTTTGATCCATGATTTGTTTTAGATATTAAGGGGAAGTGATCATTTAAAGTGCAAGAACCCTTCATGTGAAGAGTTTAATTTCTTTAAAAAAAAATCATAAAATAACGTTTTAATAACAAACTTTTATGTAATGATGCACTAAAAAGTAGAAAATAAATTATACACTACTATTTAAATAACTATAAAGAAAAGCTTTGGTCTCTTCCTAAATATTAGACACCACTATTTAAATTACTATAAAGAAAAGCGCGGGTCACTTTAGTATCTATTGGATACCTTTACTAATATCCCTTCTCGCTCCACGCCCAAGACGGCCGTGATGACGCGTGTGGATAGAACTGCCAACTAATTGAACACAGAAAAACACATCTTAATAACTATCAAGAGATTAACATAATATCCAGTGTCGCAGCCAGTGTTTGAGTTTGCTTTGTGTGGTGATGTTGGTACACTCAGGCGAATTTTTTTTTAAATCCTACATTTTTAAATTTCTAATTTTTAATTTATTTTCATTTTATTTTTGCAAGTAATTTTTTTTTAAATTAGGTGTCATAGAGGAATTATGGGACGGCGTGGTCTAGCGGTAGAGCGCTAAACTGCTAACCCGAAAGTCTCGAGTTGAAAGCCGGGTTCCATCAGTAGAAAGACCCTGAAGGGTACTTAACTCAAGATGGGAAACGAAGGCGGCTAGGCATAGTGCTGACAACATTATTCCCTTGTATCCCGAGGTCATTTAAACAGATGAACAGTACATCATCTGCCCCGTGTGTCTTGGGCACAAACCGGAAAATATGACGATATTGTGGGGGAGGGTGTTAGATAACTACTATAGATTATGAGGGTAAAGGCTTGGTTTATGCTATTTTTAACACATTAAGTACATGAACGAGATTTGTTGGCATTCGTTGCACTGTCGGAAAAAGTTCGCGATGAAAATGTGGTGATTTGATGTCCTAGTTCCTACTTTACACAGTAAATCCTGGACTCCGCTCTCACTCTCTCTCTCTGTCTCTCTCTAACCACCTTCCGCTATCTCTCTCTATTTCTCTTTCTCGCTTTCTTTAAATACTCCTCTCTCTCTCTCTCTCTCTCTCTCTCTCTCTCTCTCTGACCATACCCTTTACCCTCCTCTTTCTCTCTCTTTTTAAATTTTCATTTCCTTAGTGACGGAAGTTGCCCCTGGTTCAGTGTAGTCATCGTTTGTAGTAGCTCACAGTACCTCTAGTGTATAGCAATTCGAATGTTGGCGCCATTGTTCTAGTGTAGGAGACCTTTGATTAAAATAGTACCCCTTGTCTCGACGCCAAGTAAGCTGATCACTCAAGTACAAAAATAACTGGTTGGAAGCTCAGTGAGACCTATATTTTATTTTAACATAGGTCAGAAACCTTCACCCGAGTGCACTCAACAATCTATACATGGTTTATGGCATTTGGATGAATGCTATAGTCAAGCAAATAGATATAAACTTAATTATTGTTTTCGAAACCTAAAGCACTATTTTGCTCTAGTTAGTTCAAAATTAACAAACACTTATAAGAGCTTCGTGCAAATTATGATGTGTATATTCGCACGTGTGTGTGGATATTTATATTAGTGTGTTTGTTTATGTAAATTTTCCTTGTGCATGAGCATTAGTAGGTGTATGTATAAGCCTAAGCGTTGTTGTAAGTGAACGTCTAGGCGTTGGTGTAGGTGTTGCTGAATCTGTGTTTATGTTTATGTTTATGTTTATGTTTATGTTTATGTTTATGTTTATGTTTATGTTTATGTTTATGTTTATGTTTATGTTTATGTTTATGTTTATGTTTATGTTTATGTTTATGTTTATGTTTATGTTTATGTTTATGTTTATGTTTATGTTTATGTTTATGTTTATGTTTATGTTTATGTTTATGTTTATGTTTATGTTTATGTTTATGTTTATGTTTATGTTTATGTTTATGTTTATGTTTATGTTTATGTTTATGTTTATGTTTATGTTTATGTTTATGTTTATGTTTATGTTTATGTTTATGTTTATGTTTATGTTTATGTTTATGTTTATGTTTATGTTTATGTTTATGTTTATGTTTATGTTTATGTTTATGTTTATGTTTATGTTTATGTTTATGTTTATGTTTATGTCTATGTTTATGTTTATGTTTATGTTTATGTTTATGTTTATGTTTATGTTTATGTTTATGTTTATGTTTATGTTTATGTTTATGTTTATGTTTATGTTTATGTTTATGTTTATGTTTATGTTTATGTTTATGTTTATGTCTATGTCTATGTCTATGTCTATGTCTATGTCTATGTTTATGTTTATGTTTATGTTTATGTTTATGTTTATGTTTATGTTTATGTTTATGTTTATGTTTATGTTTATGTTTATGTTTATGTTTATGTTTATGTTTATGTTTATGTTTATGTTTATGTTTATGTTTATGTTTATGTTTATGTTTATGTTTATGTTTATGTTTATGTTTATGTTTATGTTTATGTTTATGTTTATGTTTGCGTTTGCGGTTTGCGTTTGCGTTTGCGTTTGCGTTTGCGTTTGCGTTTACGTTTACGTTTACGTTTACGTTTACGTTTACGTTTACGTTTACGTTTACGTTTACGTTTACGTTTACGTTTACGTTTACGTTTACGTTTACGTTTACGTTTACGTTTACGTTTACGTTTACGTTTACGTTTACGTTTACGTTTACGTTTACGTTTACGTTTACGTTTACGTTTACGTTTACGTTTACGTTTACGTTTACGTTTACGTTTTTGTTTTTGTTTTTGTTTTTGTTTTTGTTTTTGTTTATGTTTTTGTTTTTGTTTTTGTTTTTGTTTTTGTTTATGTTTATGTATGCGACTTCAAATCGTTTGTAAGATGTCCATTTATAGAATGTTCACCTAAGTGAACAAATATAAAATTTAATTTATATTGGCAGCTGAATTTAAAAGCTTTCGAATGGTACATTTTATTTAGAATTATTATGACTAAATAATGTTAGTATACTTTTGATTAGAATGACTTTCTGCGTCGGGAGACAATGGAAATAACAGTGAGATCCTCGTGGTCTTTTTCATGGTATTAGATAAAGCGATCATGTGTGACTCATATAGGAATACGCTCTTGACATTTGACTGTATAGCACAGAATAAAATACTTAAAAAAAACTTTTTAAAAAACCACGTTTTTCTTGTGGACTAAAAAGTAGAAAATAAATTTTCATACATTTGATGACAAAAACGTGGGTACGTTCACCATCAAAGTTCCCGACCCATCTGCCCGACCCACGTTTTTTGTCATCAAATGTATGAAAATTTATTTTCTACTTTTTAGTCCACAAGAAAAACGTGGTTTTTTAAAAAGTTTTTTTTAAGTATTTTATTTTCTCCTTTTTAGTCCGTTGCTACACATGAAAAACGTGGTTTTTTAAAAAAGTTTTTTATATAGTTTATTTTCTACTTTATCTAATGACTTCATTAAGTATGACTTGACTAAGTGTTTATAAATACACGGACTAAAAATCTTGAGCGACCAGGATTCGAACCTGGGTTGTCGCGGCCACAACGCGAAGTACAAACCACTATACGATCACGGCCAGCGCGCTCACCTCGATTGGGGCCGAAGTAACTGTGTCAATAGGCCTCCAGTCTTGTCGCTATCTTTAGAAATCATGTCCTCAATTTTATGGTCCTTGGGGCGTAATTAAATTAAGCTAATTACGGTCTCTAATTGCTAGTTTTTATGATTGCATCTGAAATTGTTAGGCGAAAGTAGCCTACATGCCAAATTTCAGATCTCTAGAGCAATCAGAAGTGGGCTAATTTTCGATGTCAATTTTAACTACAAACATCCAAACAAACAAACAAACGCGAAGCTGAGTTAAGAAAAACGTGTTAAAAAAGCGAATCATTAGAAGGTGCTGAAAGAAAGCCAGAGTTAATGATCCTGCTGCAGTATGGACTCTGCTTCTATCAAATTTCGGAATTTTATTTGTTTCCCCCATAACGAAACTTAACTGACTGGTATTCGAGCTCGGAAATGTATAGCTAGTAGCCAATGTTCTCCCATCCAACCACGCCATCCGTAATTATTCTGCTATACAAACAGGGCATCCTTTCTTGCAAATATAAATTTGTTTTAAGTGTATCTTGTGCGTATGGAGACCCATTTTTTTAAAGTAGATTTTCTTGCCATGCATAGGTCAACAAAGTACTTAACGTTTGGGTAATGTACGTCACGTTAGCTATCTTAAAATTTGACGAGTAGCTTGTTTATTCTAACATAGATGTTCTCAAACTTTCTTCAAACACAGTGCTTCTCAAACTTTCTTTTAACACGGTATTTCTCAAACTACCTTCTGACAGTACTTCTTAAACCTTTAACAGCCACAACCACTAGCACAAACATGAACATTGAACATAAACATAAACATGAATAACTATTTCCTATCCAAGCTGGTTATGTGTATATATTAAACATTTTTATTGACAAACATGTCTTTATTAAATACACTGCCAACCAACAGTTGAGAGGTCTCCCATCAAATCAATTTTCTACGTAGATAAGCCCAATTTACAGCATCGCTAACTAGATAAGCCCATTTTACAGCATCGCCGATGAAATACTTAAAACAAGCTGACGTACGAAAATCTGCAAATTCAAGTGGACAGTATGATAAAAACAAACGTTGCATTCAGCGGGCTTTACATCCTGGAGCTTTCTCGCCCGCCACTGTATAAAGCTTGGCTGTAGGGCCAGATCATTCACACTGGATTGAAAGCCAAAACGACTTTAAGACCTTTTCCAACAACTACACAAAGAAGATGAGCATCACATCGTCCTTTGGTTTGCTTTGTGTGCTGATGTTATTTCACTCAGGTTAGTTCTGTAACATTTTAAACTTTGGTTTTAATCAAACATGAAATTTTTATTGTGTTATTTAAAAATGCAATATTTTCTAATACTATTTGTATTTTATTGTGTTATTTAAAAATGCAATATTTTCTAATACTATTTGTATCAAACATGTAAGATAAAATGAAACATAACATCGTCAATCATTTTTATACAAACCCAAATGGGAAAAAAAGACTTTTTTTTTTTCTTTTTGCTCTCCCTGTATAAATAAACCGGGAGTGATCTCCCCTAAACTTTCTCGAATATTCTTATATAACTTGGAATATAGACATGATTTTTTAATTACTTAAACTTTTAAAAATAGAATAGAATCTTATAGAAAAAAGAATTGCGCACCAAGCGAACGGCAAAATCAAATGTGCGTAATAGTGCGGAATATTATTAGTACTTTATAAATTTACATGCGATTTTTGAGAAATCGGAAATAGCGTAAATTAGTACCTCCGGTCAACGGAAATTACTCAAAATTTGACAGAAGGTAGAATATTAGATCTTTTACTTACAGGTAAAATTTCATTTATCTATCTGAAATGGTACTCAAGTTATAGGCTTTTGAAAAATTCAAAGTAGAAAAAGTACCACTTCCGGTTATCGGAAATCGCTCAAAAGTTGATACGGATCTACGATTTTGATAAAATACTTATATATGAAATTTCATCAACCTAGCTGTAACGGTACTCAAGTTATCGTGTTTACACACATACAGACAGACACACAGAAAGACACACAGATATACGGACAAGATTGCAAAATTATGTTTTTCCGTATCAGTGAGGCGTAAAACGTCGAGATTTGTAAAAATCTCGATTTTTTTTTTTGCACGATTACAAGACTTTCTCTATACTTCGTATATATGAGAAAGTAAAAATAAAATATGATAATTTTTCTCACCAGGATTTACAGAGCGTATCCGGTATACAATAACTATTAGAACAGGTAATGTTGCGGGCGCTGGGACCAATGCGAGAGTTTTCATTATTCTGCACGGAACTAGAGGCTCCACCGGCAGGATAGATCTACGGTACCATAACAGAAAAAGTTTTGAGAAGGGTATAACCGACATTTTCACGGTGGGTAGGTTGGTCAGTTGGGGCAGTGAGTGGATTGGTTAGTTTGGACAGTGAGTGGGATGGACACTAAAGATAATAATGGGCAAAGAGTTGGTTGGTCATTCAAGACAGTGTAGGGGCAGTGAGTGGGTTGGTCAGTTAGGACAGTAAAGGGGCAGTGTGAGGGGCAGTGTGAGGGGCAGTGTGAGGGGCAGTGTCATGGGGCAGTGTGAGGGGCAGTGTGAGGGGCAGTGTGAGGGTCAGTGTGAGGGGCAGTGTGAGGGTCAGTGTGAGGGGCAGTGTCATGGGGCAGTGTGAGGGGCAGTGTGAGGGGCAGTGTCATGGGGCAGTGTGAGGGGCAGTGTGAGGGGCAGTGTGAGGGGCAGTGTGAGGGGCAGTGTGAGGGGCAGTGTGAGGGGCAGTGTGAGGGGCAGTGTGAGGGGCAGTGTCATGGGGCAGTGTGAGGGGCAGTGTGAGGGGCAGTGTGAGGGGCAGTGTGAGGGGCAGTGTGAGGGGCAGTGTGAGGGGCAGTGTGAGGGGCAGTGTCATGGGGCAGTGTGAGGGGCAGTGTGAGGGGCAGTGTGAGGGGCAGTGTGAGAGGCAGTGTGAGGGGCAGTGTGAGGGGCAGTGTGAGGGGCAGTGTGAGGGGCAGTGTGAGGGGCAGTGTGAGGGGCAGTGTCATGGGGCAGTGTGAGGGGCAGTGTGAAGGGCAGTGTGAGGGGCAGTGTGAGGGGCAGTGTGAGGGGCAGTGTCATGGGGCAGTGTGAGGGGCAGTGTGAGGGGCAGTGTGAGGGGCAGTGTGAGGGGCAGTGTGAGGGGCAGTGTCATGGGGCAGTGTGAGGGCGTCAGGAATCTCGTATAGAATACACCAACAACACGTTAAGGCTAGGTACAACAGTCTCTTTCATTTTTCCTCAATCGCCTTCCCAGTCGTTAGATCACTATAAATAGTATAGGAGCAGTGTGTTGGTTAGGTCTTTATAAATAGTATAGGAGCAGTGTATAGTATAGGAGCAGTGTGTTATTTAGGTCACAATAAATAGTATAGGAGCAGTGAGTTGGGTAGATCACTATAAATAGTATAGGAGCAGTGTGTTATTTAGGTCACTATAAATAGTATAGGAGCAGTGAGTTGGTTAGGTCACTATAAATAGTATAGGAGCAGTGAGTTGGTTAGGTCACTATAAATAGTATAGGAGCAGTGAGTTGGTTAGGTCTTTATAAATAGTATAGGAGCAGTGTGTTATTTAGGTCACTATAAATAGTATAGGAGCAGTGAGTTGGTTAGGTCACTATAAATAGTATAGGAGCAGTGAGTTGGTTAGGTCACTATAAATAGTATGGGAGCGATGAGTTGGTTAGGTCACTAAAGACAGTAGATGGGAAATCAGTGGGTTGGTAATTGAGGACAATATAACGGCTTCTCTATTACTCCATGAATACTGTATTTTGTTATTTAGAACTATTAAGTTGAAAAAATTTGCATATTTCCAATGATAAGATAATTACTGCAGTATATTAACAAACAATGACTTCCAATTGTGATTACGATGTGCATACAACTACAACTGCATTCTGCTATAGCTTGTTATTGACTTGCAGTACAAAAATGTAGTAAACTAAAATATTTCTAAACATTATATTTAATGTAGACCAGATCATCAAATTTTAGAATCTTTAAACGACTAGAAAAAACGATTAACTGTCCTAATAGTTGAAATCGGATGAATTATTTCCAGGGCTCTGAAGAAAATGTAGGATATATAAATTCAATTACAATTGGACACGACAATTCTGGATGGAGACCAGGCTGGTTTCTAGTAGATGTGAGTAAAATGTTGCATGAATCAAAACTTTTATCTAACATTTTGTTGACTTTTTACTTTCTCGTATAGAGGAAGTATTGTAATCGTGCACAAAAATCACTAGCAAGTTTGACGAATTTTCAACGTTTTACTTTTAAGTACTTGATCATACACAGAGTATAGAAGACTATTTTTAATCGAGCAAAAAATTTTATCCACATTTTTCAAAATTGTGTGATCTCCCCGAAAATTCTCGAAAATTCTTGTATAACACTTCGGGGGACGGCTACTGGGAATATAGACATGCTTTTTTTAATCAATCTTTACCTACTTCAACGTTTTTATATAAAATTGTATCTCGTAGAGAAAAGAAGTGCGCACTAACTGAATTGCAAACAATGCGTGTATAATAGTAAGGAACATTAGAACTTTACAAATTCTTTTGCGTTTTTTGATAAATCTGAAGTAGCGTAAATTACTACCCCTGGTCAAAGGAAATTACTCAAAATTTAACGGATAACACAGAATTAGATCTTTTACTTGTGAATCTTCTATCAAAAACAGTACTCAAGTAAAATGCTTTAAAAAAATTAAAAGTGCAATAAAATAAAAACTAAATACAAATATGATGTTTTACTTATATATGAAATTTAATTAATCTAGCTGTCACGGTACTTAAATTGTTGTGTTCACAGACACACAGACACACAGACACACAGACAGAGAGAGAGATAGATAGATAGATAGATAGAGAGAGAGAGTGAGAGAGAGAGAAAGCAGTGTTTCTTCCAGACTTTTTTCTCCGGGAGGGGGAGGGGGCTCTTAAAATTTTCGGGGGGGGGGCCGGTAGACTTTCTTCGGGGGGGGGGGGGGGGCGGACACTGTTAAAAGTATATATTCTCTATATAAATTTATAAATTTCATTTCGTTTGGGGGGGGGGGGGCGGTAGAATTTTTTCGGGAGGGGGGTAAAGCCCCCCCCCCCCCCCCCCCCCGAAGTGATGCATACAGACAAGATTGCAAAATTGCGTTTTTCAGACTTCGAGAGATCTAAAACGTCGAGATTTGTGAAACTCTCGATTTCGATTTTTGCACATTACAATACTTCCTCTATATGCCTACTCCGTACACGAGAAAGTAAAACAATCATCTGTCCATTATAATCCACAATGGTCATTTGAAGTCCATCAGTTCTTTTCAGTCCCCTGACTGATGGGGTGATAGCTAGTTCTAAACATAATATCTCTCTTTAGCTTATTTACCGTAGTAATCTTACAATTAACAAGTATTGACTTATTAACATATAATTAGATGGAAAATGTTTCGAAACGAATTTTATAAAAAATCTTTGTGTCGAAAATAAGTGACAGGATGATACCACAAACCCATCCTTCACTTAATCCCCTTAAAGATAGATATAGAAACCAACAAACAGAAACCGTGGCCTATGTTAAAACTTCTAAATTGAGGTGTTTTATTGTGTAGAATAAATTTTCCGCTTTTTTTTCAGGTGCGCATTACTCAGCACGTGACACCTAGTCTTGAGGTACGTTAATCTGAGTAGCTTAATTTTAGAAACCATTGGCCATAACATTTCTTAAAGGTTATAATTCTACGCAAAAACTATTTGCTACATTGTTTTCAACACTAAGATATGTATAGTTATGGATAAAAATTACTAATGATAGTTTAATGCAACCAGAATGCAAGAAAACTGTCTAAGTACTGTTTTTGCTAGTCTGTGTGACCGTTTTATTCCTGTTGCCTGCTTTATCCTAAAGATAGGGTTTGGTTCATGAGTTGGACAAACTCTCAAAAAGCTGATTACAATACAGTCTTCGTATGATTAAATCATGGTGGTGTAGTAGAGAGTTCGAAGGTCTCGAGTTTGTATCTCGATCCAGATTTAAAACTGAAAGTTAGCCAGCCCGCATTGATGGGTACCTAACTCATGTTGGGGAAAGTAAAGACGGCTAGTCATAGCGCTTACCACACAATTCCTTCAAATGCCGAGGGCTAGAAACTTTTGAATTATACTTTATCTGCCCTGTGGATCATTAGGTCTTAAATCGGAAATGTATTTTACCTACTACATTTAAAAACGTAATATATGATATCATCGTTATCAACCGTTTCCCTTCAACCACAGTTCTTGTTCAACTGGAACAACTGGATCGCCACTACCGAGCTAGATGGGACCATTGTCAAAACTATTTCAGCTTCACGCTAGAAGAAGCACCAAACACACCTGGGAGACAGTTTGTGAACTAAAACTCTTAACTTGACGAATTCATTGTTTTAAAGTTCAATAAGTTTAGTATCAACATGTTGTTAGGTAGAGTTTTAAAGATCTTAACTATTTTTTAAATTCAAAAACAATATTAAATACCTGCTTACATTGATCATTTCTTCTTATTATCAATCATTTAAGTCATTTCGACGTTTGATGCTGTGTGTGTGTTTGTGGTTGGGTGCGTGCGTGCTCGTGTATGTGTATATATATGTGAAAGAAAGAGAGAGAAACTGTGTGTGCTAAATTATGTATCCGTGTGTATTCACTATGTAAAGTTGTGTTACTACGCAGCTTTGTGATGAACAATTCTCCTATAAACTAGGGTAACTAATCACTATGAGAATTGTTTGCCTTAGGCCGTGCAGTTGTTATAAAAAAAATAAACCGGGAGTCATCTCACCTAAACTTTCTCGAATATTCTCGAATATTCTTATATAACACTACGGGGCATGGCAACTCGGGATAAAGACAATATTTGTAATCCATTTTTAAGTACTTAAACTTTTTATAATAGAATAGAATCTCGTAGAAAAAAGAATTGCACACCAAGTGAACGCCAAACAAAATGTGCAAAATAGTACGGGATATTATTAGTACTTTATAAATTCACATGCGTTTTTCTTGAGAAATCGGAAATAGCGTAAATTACTACATCCGGTCAACAGAAATTACTTACAATTTTTAGAAGGCAGAGAATTAGATCTTTTACTCATGTGAAATTTCATTTATCTATCTAAAATAGTACTCAAATTATAGGCATTTGAAAAAAAATAAGAGTAGAAACAGTTTCACTTCCGGTTATCGTAAATCGCTGAAAAGTTGATACGGATCTACAAATTTGATATACTACTTATATATGAAATTTCATCTACCTAGCTGTAAGGGTAATCAAATTATCGTGTTCACAGACGCACGTACATACACACACACACACATACAGACAAGATTCAAGATTGCAAAATTATGTTTTTCCCACTCAATCTCGGTTTTTGTTTTCACATTTTGCACATTATTATGCACATTTTGTTTGGCGTTGGCTTGGTGCGCAATTCTTTTTCTATGTGATTCTATTCTATTTTAAAAAGTTTAAGTAATTAAAAATCACGTCTATATCTCGAGTTGCCATCCCTCGTAGTGTTGTATAAGAGTATTCGAGAAAGCTTAGGGGAGATCAATCCCGATTTATTAATAAAGGATTTAGTATCTACTTAGATAAAATGAGACATGTTTGCGTTGTCTTAGGAGATCAATGTATCTGGAAAGATTGAACATTAAAAGTGAGTTAGCGTAAAACCAGATAGAGGAAAAAAAAAGCACGCACATGTTGACCATCGTTAGGTGTTAGGTGTTTCTCTCTAGGAGGACGGACCTAATTATGACCCGTACCTTACTGCACGTTGTCTAAACAGTTTTTTATGACCTAATTAATTACCCACCTGACAAGATGGGCCCCGTTGCAGTAACGTGATTTTGGGAGTTAATTAACCAATTTAGAGAACCACCATGCTGGTAAATATTTAGATTTCTACTAAAATTTCGCATTTTTAATTTTAAATGTAAGCATTATTTGGTTATTCGTTATACTCATCGGGTCTATACAAGATCATATACAAAAACTTACCGCCCATGACACTTAACCCACCCCCCTTCCCACTACAAAGGTGTGTCAGTCGCAAACAAATGTATACACGGTACAGAAAAAAAAAACTAAAAGTGGAAAACATAATTTGTCAAGGTGTCACGGCCGGCTGGGTATCCGGTCAGTGTAAGTCGTGGCCGTCCCCATTTCGTAGGTAAATATTTGTTACCGTCTTCTGGGAATGGGAGCGCCTACTGAGGTGGGGGTGGGGGTGTAGAGCTTTTTATCCTGTAGTGTACTTATATGTCTCTTTATAAAGCTGGTTGCTACGGTCTAACCAGTGACATGGGAGTAAAGGTCTACTCAAGTTTTCCACCGTACTTTAATACAAGACAAGCAAGATGTGGATAGCAGCAACTTTGGGTTTGATCTGTGTTGTAACCTTGGTACACACAGGCGAGTTATTTTTTATCATTTGATTTCTTTTTGTTTTATCTTAAACATCTCAGTGATTTTTTAGGAGGTAAATTAAGTTCATAAAACACAACTTCGTCAATACTTACAAAATAATTTGGTACTCCACAATAAAGCCCTTCTTTCTCCCTTCTTTCTCCCTCACACTCCCCCTCTATCTCTACCTGTCTCCGAAATTCTCAATATCCTCTATTGCTCCCTCCCCTCTACCCCCTTCCCCTTCTCTATTTTAACCTCTCTGGCGCTCTCTCTAAGAAATTCGCTACGTACTTTCTCCCCCCACCTTTCGGTCTTTTCCTCTTTCTTCATATCTCTACATCTTTCTCTCTTACCCCCCCCCCCCTCTTTCTCTCTCTCTCTCTCTCTCTCTCTCTCTCTCTCTCTCTCTCTCTCTCTTTCTCTGTCTTTACCTTCCCTCGTCTCATAAGGTTCAAGGACTCGATTTGAAGGACTAAACTCGACAAATGTAGCGTTAATAATAGTCGAGTGCTGTCCTACTGACTAATCTGCCATACCTAAGTCTTTAAAATAAATATGAAACACTACGTGTACAATAACAATTATTGCCTAAGAATTGGAAAAATGTGTATTTATGCGTGTGTTAATATGAGAGGTAATTTTATCCGCAGCATGTTCTGAAAATATCGACTACACGATAACCATAAAAACCGGCAACCGAGCCAATGCCGGCACTGATGCTCTAGTGTTCATGACTATATTCGGCTCCAGCGGTTCGACCGGCAGGCTGGTCTTGCCTAATCAGTCGGCCGGCAACTTTGAGAAGGGCGACACGGACATGTTTACGGTGAGCGTTCTGTGACGCTGTGTGACATTTGTTGACATTTTGTGACATATTGTGACAATGTATGACATTTTGTATTAAGACTTGTAAACTTATATAATGCAGTGAAAATAAGAAGGTGTAAATCTTCATTTTCTTGAATAATTAGGGCACAAAGTCTGCAACATACGTGCGCGTGTAGGAACAAAACATGTGCCAAAGTCCTGTCAGCTAGGTGGTTGGGAGATAGACGTCAACACAAAGAGCGATGGTGTGTGGGTTTATCGTCCTAAGCCTATGTGGATAGGGTCTTAGACTTATGTCTTAACCTAAGAGTTATGTAACGTAACGAATTTGAGTTTACTAGTTTTGTAGATAGTGGCTAGGTGTATGCATAACAATGGTTTGGCGCTGTTGACTCAAAATGTATAAGAATTATAGATGAAAAGCAAAAGTAATTAAAAAGTATTAAAAAAAAGTACAACAATACATTCTTTAGAAGCGTTTCGAGCAAATGTTTGCACGTAAAATTATGGTAAACCATTATATTTTAAGTGTCTTTTTTAAAATATGTTTGGTCTTAATAATAATTTTTTGGTGAAAATCCATTTATTTATTTTTTATTGAAATTAGTTACATATTTTTCTAAAACCTAACCATTAAAAATGTTTATACATACTGGAGAGTCGCATGAGTTGGCTATAATATTTTGCTTGATTTTAAAATAATTCTCATTAGGCCTTTTTATCTTATATTCGATGTTATAAGGTAGGTGGTCGCTCCCATCTTGTTTTAGAAAGTTTTTTTTTATTTCTCGCCTATTTTTCTGGTTTTATCTTAATTAAGTTGAACTTGTTTATTAAAAATAATTGTTTTGAAATGTTACCATAGTTACACACCACCAATGTAGGACGGATCAGTTCTATAGAGATTGGACACAACAACCACGGCAGTAATGGTGGCTGGTTCCTCGACTACGTAAGTAAAGTTCCTTGATATCATTTTGAATTGGATATACTAGAAAACGAGTTTTATTTTATCCTTTATGTAAACAACAATTTCCCTTTCAAACTTGACGATGTTGGGGCAAGTGAAATAGAGCTCATCTGTTTCTGTGACGTCGGCATTTAAAGGGATAGTTTGGTTAGAACTATGCCAGCCGCCTTTACTTCCCTTTACTTCCCAGAACGTGGACACATAACGTTTTACAGACTTGAACTCGACACATTTGTGTTAGCAGTCGTATGCTCTACTATTAGACCACGCAGTCACATTAGTTTTATAGACACAGTTTAAAATTATTTTTATTGTATGCAACAACCGATTTTATGTTTGTTTTTATGTATTTTTGTGGTTAGTTATTTTTATTTACATTTCTCATTCTCTTAGGTTGAAATAATACAGAAGTTGGCAGCCGTTAGCGACAACGACATTGTGAGTTATTTAAAACTGTATGAAGTATATAAAGAATTACTGACTAGTAACCGTTGTTCGATTCCATGTGAAGTATTTTACCGTGTGGCTAATATCGGACTGTGTATTCAGATTGTGCACGTTTCTCTGATGTTTATGTGTTTTTTGGTATTCAATACTTTCTCGTCTGCTTATTGCTGAATACTTATGCTGGGAGATACTAACGGGTGCCAGTTTAGGCCGAACGTTTGTGTGAAGCTCATTAGGTCAATTTGTCATCAGTAGGACGTCCGTAAATATGTACTTATTTGAAAAATTCGTAAGACATTCTAAATTTAGGACGTCTACCGTCTAACCCTAATCTATGTGACGTCTGCATGACGTATTACACGATTTTTTAAGACTCCCACTTACATAGGGAAAGTTTTTATTTTGTTATCTTTACAGCTGTTGGTAATTTGCAGTGTCTATATGTTGGTAAGCTACAGTGTTTCTTCCAGACCTTTTCCTCAGGGGGAGGGACTTGAAATTTACGGGGGATTGGGGGGGGGGGGCGGACTAAAATTTCCGAGGGGTGGGGGGGGGGGTACGGCGGACATTTTTAAATTCCATTTCGTCCGAAGAAACTCTGGTAACCCATATAATCATAATATTTAATTGCTTTTAACTAAATCCTGTAAGTAGAAAATTACTCAATTGTTTCATTTATTTTTCATTTACAGAGACCTGGTACTACCAAGTACCGGTTCGACAATTTTAACTGGATCGCATCTGATGAGGGGGATAGGCTGCTGATCAAGAAAATTAGTACTAACTACCCTGAGGTCAACCTGGGCTAGACCAGCATCTGTACAGCTAAATCACCGGAATGAATGAATTTAAATTTAAGCATTTAACAACATTTACAACTGCATATAAGATTCTTTTGAAAGTGTAACGTAATGTAAATAAATAAATAAAGCAGTTTATTTAAGATACAATTTACTACTGTGCTCATTAGTGACTCAATATTCAAACTCTTGATTGGGTTTACTTTGGCGTGTTAAATAAGGGGTCATCCATTTATGAGGTCCACACAAATTTGGAATTTTAGACCCCCCCCCCCTCTTCCATCCCCTCCACCGTCCACTAGCATAGACTTTCGACGACCCCCCCCCCTCCCCTTGTGGACGTCCATAAACATTACTACTTCACTAACATGCAGCATCTTTACTAGGTCTGAATAGAGCCTAGAATGTGTTGAAAAAATAAGTAAATTTGTGATTTACAGTGTCAGTTTGCATTGCTTGTTCGCTTTAGTATTACAGTTTTCATCATCGGCTTGTGAGGACTGATACAGATTTACAATAGTAATACTTCTTTCTTACATATAGCCTACTTTCATTCATTTAAGATGGTTTACTTATAGATAGATCTAATACAAAACGTCTAGTTACATTTTTTTTAAAGCCTGAAAATGCAAATGTGTAATTAAATGATTATTTAAAAGATTCGAAATTTTGACCCCGTGATTTCTAGCTATCAAACGATTCGAAAAACATTTTTATATAAAATAAAGCATCTGGAGTCAAATTAGCGTTTTTCACAAAACATTTTCTAGGCTGTCGATTAAATTAGATAATTAAAAAACCTTTTAATAACTTACTTTTATGTAATAACACACTAAAAAGGAGAAAATAAATTATACACTACTATTTAAATAACTATAAAGAAAGCGTGGGTCACTTTAGTATCTATTTGATACCTTTAGGAAGAGACCCACGCTTTTCTTTATAGTTATTTAAATAGTAGTGTATAATTTATTTTCTCCTTTTTAGTGCATTATTACAGAAAAGATTGCTATTAAAACGTTTTTATGAAACATTTTTAAAATACTTTCCATGTTTTTATTTACAATAGAGTTACATGACAAAAAACCATTGCGCGTCTATTGAACGTGATGGCGCACCTATTAAACGTGCTGACGCGCTATTGAACGTGATGACGCGTGTGAAGTTGTTGGATAGACCAGGCTACTAATTTGGTCAAAATTTCAATTAATTCATAAACAATTAACAAGGCATCCGACTAAGTTAAATTTAAAGTAAGTTAAATAAAAGCTTGTAACAATGATATCTAGAGCGCATATAGTCAGTGGCATTGCTAGTCCGGGTGTCACTAGGTGCCGCATCTCATGTTGTCAACCCCTCACCCCCCCCCCCCCCCCCAAAAAAAATATATATATATATATATATATATAATGGTCTACATAGGCCTATATAGTTGCCTAATGGAGTCAATTTGTGCGAACATTATATTTGTACACTTATTGATTCATGTGGAAAAAGCATCGTTTTTATCGTAAATTATTAGATTTTGGTGTCACTCGGTGCTGTCCGCACCCTCCGCCCCCCGCCTCGCGACGTCTCTTCTTATGGTTCCTAATTTATCATGGTCGTTTAACTTAATACCCTTTAACACAATCATCACTAACTCGATACTATCATAAGTAAAACATTCACCTTCAAGTCAATCACCACAACAAAATCACTTTCAACAGTTTCCATTAACACAATCACCACTAACACAGTCACTTTCAACAGTTTCCATTAACACAATCACCACTAACACAGTCACTTTCAACACAGTTTCCCTTAACACAATCACCACTGACAAAGTCACCACTACCATCACTAAAACATTCCCCCTCCTATTATGAAATCATTTCACAACTTAGATCATACTCATCACAACTTTTGTTTAGTAAACAACCTTGTAAAAATTAAACGACCATTTTACCGAATGTTCAATAATTGTATTTGACTATTTGAAACAGCATTTCCTAAACAGTTCTCATAATATTATTGAAATCAGTGTAATCTTCATCTTTAAAACATCAATATGGATAAACATCAGCCCGTGCAACATTAACCTTCTTGACCAGTGGGTCGTCTCCCGCGTCGGCAGCGATCCAGTTATTGAAGCTGAACAGGTAATGAGTGAAGCCAGGCTTCTGCGATATGAATACAGAACTTAGTTATTTTTAAAGGATTGAAGTATTGTTTGACGAAAACAGAAAACTATAATCCTCTAGAATAATAATAATGGACGAAATGGTCTAGTAGAGAGCTAGACTGCTAACCCGTAAATCTCGAGTTCGAATCCGTGTTCAAGTCAGTAGACCGTCCCTGAGTCCACCCAATTCTGATGGGTACCTAACTCACGTTAGGAAAAGAAAATGCGTCTGGGCATAGTGCTGACCACCACAGGTGAACTCTACTTCACTTGCCCAATTGACCGTCCGGTTTGGAAGGGGAACTTCACAAGACTACTAACGTCGGCGTTTTTCAGACACTGCCAAATATTGACGTTTTACAATTTAATACGTTTTTACAGACATATATACGTAGTACACACTAAAACATACGAACGTCCTACAGATATATGTATGTCATCACATACAATTATGTGCATAGAATTAAAAAGACCTTGAACTTCTTGGATTCTTTAACTTTAAAAACGCAAGTTAAGAAAATACTCTTTAAAAAAAAAAAACTCACAATGTTTTTGTCACTTATAGCGGCTACTGGCTGATCAATTGTAACCTAAGAGAATCATTGGGGAAAAAGTATTGATTAATAAAGCTCAGTATCAACAAAAAAATTACAAAGAATTGTATTGCTTTCTGTTGGCCAGTTGGCATATACATTTCGCAAAGATAAGATTTTATATAATAACTAGCCATCGGTACCCGTTACACGGGAATTATAGGCTTATATACTTTAATGTTATACTTGATCGAGATTTTTTTTAATAAAAATACTATTGGTCTAAACGCTAAATGCTTTACTACACATTGAACTATATTAGTAACATAGACTACTGTGACCTACTTAGGTCGAGTCATTTTTATTTTGACATTGCATAATTCCTTATATGGAATGATGGTGTAACACCTGGGGTTTTTCCACTGACTTATTAAGGTGTCTGAGACATAGAAATTTTCCATTAAAATCTGATTGAATGATTCTGATCAGATGATTATCCCAACCAATGGCGACATGAGTTGAGGATAACCTCCCCTGTCACAGAAGTCTTTAATTGCACTGCACACTCGCAACACGAGGCAGTTTTTTCTTGACCTGGCAGTCTACGAGGCCGTTTTACCTTGTTCAGGCAGCCGTCCATATTGTCCGGCTATAGACTCTGACCATTTGAACGTGAGAGTACTTAAGACCTGTGTGTGCCTTGCTTTCTTCAGTTGATTTAGTCTTCTAGTTTAATATTACTTGTCGCTAAGTAAATTCTGAAGCTACAGCAGTGTTGTGTGGCCTGTAGCTGTTTTTTAGACAGTGTAGAAATCTGTGATAGTGATTTTTCCTACATTTTGTAAGTTGTGTTTTGATATTTTATACATTAAATATTTTATCTAATTCATCTTTGTGTTCTGCCACAACTGAGTTCGCTGATTAAAAAGTCGTATGTAGATTGGATGAGTGCAGAGGCGTAGCGAGGGGGGGGCGGGGGGGGGACATATGTCCCCGGGCGCCGACCTTAGGGGGGGCGCCAAATTGACAGTTTGAGGGGGGGTGCAAATGAAAAGTTCGAGGGGGGGGTGCAAATCGAAAGTTTGAGGGGGGGTGCAAATGAAAAGTTCGACGGGGGGGGGGGGGGTGCAAATCGAAAATTTGCTCCCGAGGGGGGCGCCAAATTGAAAGTATGTCCCCGGGCGCCGGGAAGGGTCGCTACGCCTCTGGATGAGTGTTAATTACAATAGTACCACTAGCTTCCCTAGACATTAAATTCGAGCCCTAGTGGGTCGTTGTGTTAAGTGTTCATCCACTTAGGCCGTAAGGCATTTGCATATGACCCCGAAAAAAGAATCCGGGGACGTTCTCCTTCTATTTAGCTGATAGATAGGTTAACGTTACAAAGTGGGGGCTCGTCCGGGATTTAATCTGTCGTTCCAGTTGTTGGTTATATCAGTTGAATATTAAGGTTAGTTGGATTTAGTTGTTTTTATATCCAGTAGCGCAGTGTTCTTACAACGCGCGCTCAGGTTAGAGTATCTAGGTCAAATAAGCAGACGTGTCACGTCCTACATTTAGAGGTCAAGTACACGGCCCAACGCTGTGTATTAATTTAAAGAATCTAGGCTTGTTGTGATTTTCAAGTTAGAGTTATGGAGTCTTTTTTGGCTAATCCTACTGTTGAAGATGTAGAAAAGTTGAGTAGAAAAGTTTTGGTTAGTGTTGTTAAGGAATTGAAATTGGATTATTCTGTTACGCAGAAGTCAGAGGTGTTGAGAGATAAAATTGTTGTTCATTTCATTAATGAAGGAGTATTTGATGAAAGTTTGTTGGCTGGTGTGTTGCTCCGCGAGGAGAAAACTCTAGAGAAGGTAGAATTAGAAGCTAGAATTGCTTTAGAGAAGGAGAAAATTACTTTAGAGAAGGAGAAAGTTGCTTTAGAGAAACAGGCGTTAGAGGCTAAAATTGCTTTAGATAAGAGGAGGTTGGAATTAGAGTTTGGTCAAGTTAGTGATGTCACTTCTCCGGTAGATCCAAAAAAGTTGTCGGTAGGGCAAGTGATTGCCAAATTTGGGAAATTAGTTCCGAAATTTGATGAAACAGATTTGGTCGTTTTCTTTAACTCGTTTGAGAGTTTAGCGAAGACATGTGAATGGCCCGAAACTTCCATTACTGCTTTATTGAGCTCTGTCCTTACTGGGAAAGCTGCAAAAACATACCAGGCACTCTCTCACGACGTTCAAAATAACTATAGTTTGGTCAAGACTGCCATTTTAAAGGCCTACGCACTGACGCCCGAGGCCTATCGGACAAAATTCCGAACACTCCGCAAGTTACCCACACAATCATATGTGGAATTTCTCTTTGAAAAGGAGAAAATATTCTCAAGGTGGCTACACTCTGAGGAAGTTTCTGAGTTTGAGAAACTCAGGTCACTTATCCTAAGGGAAGAATTCCTATCGTCCCTGCCTGAAGAGATACGACTACACATACTGGATAACAAGATAACTGACATCCAGAAGGCTGCTGAGTCGGCTGACACATATATGTTGGTGCATAAGAAACCACCAGTGTCAGGAAACCGCCTCAACCCCGTGCTTCCCCTTTTTGGCAGCAATCCTCCTGTTGGCCAACACGTGAAGGCATTACAGTCCAGAGAGAAACCAAGATCAACTCTCAATCGTCGAGCAGTATGCCAGTTCTGCAAAAGGCCTGGTCATCTTGTCAAGGACTGTTACAAACGTCGTCAATATAACAGAGAGGTGGTGCGTACTTCTGCGCACTATGCTCTATCCCCTCAAGCAGCCAGTTCAACCATGAACTCTAGAATTCAAAAGGACTCTAACCCTAAGTGTCCGCAAGAAGGTAGTCAAGTCTCCACACATTATGTGCAGTCACATTTTGACTGTTCTCGCCCCCATCCAGTTTCTTCCGAGTCTACCGATCTCGAGGGATCGAGAAAAGTTGACTTTTCATCTTTTATTGCCGAAGCCATCATTAGCAAACCAGGTGATCCGTTGTCTCAGCGGAATATCACCGTCCTAAGAGACACAGGAGCGTCACAATCACTCCTTTTGAAAAGTTCAATGGACATTACACCAGAGACGAACACCGGAAAGATTTCCATTATCCAGGGAGTGGGGACAAAATCTACTGTCGTCCCTCTACACAAGTTTGCCCTGAAACATCATCTCGTCGAAGGTGAGGTCATTTTAGGTGTGATAGATAGTATTCCTGTCCCAGGAGTACACCTACTTCTAGGGAATGACCTTGCGGGAAGCAAAGTATACCCCTGTACGGTTTCAGACCCTTTGTCAACAGTTCCAGATAATGATAATGAACTGTATCCTGCATGTGCGGTGACAAGAAGCCAGACCAAACAATTGGCTGACACAACGTCTGAACCACATCTACCATCATCGTCAAGAAATTCGACTCCCAAACTGGAGTCTAGGCTTCCAGAGAACACAAGTCTGGGCTTACCCCTGAGAATATCTCAGGAAGACATTATTAAAGCTCAACAAGTCGACGCGGAGCTCCAAGCAACGGTCGAAAAATCTCTATCATCTGTCGATGGAGAATATTTCTCCGAGAACGGCCTCTTCTTTCGTCGCGCTATACCAGTGATTGCCTCACCAGCCGAACCATGGTTGGGTAAAAACCAGCTGTGGATCCCTCCACCTTATCGGCATGAAATACTTAAGCTGGCACATGACCATCCAATGTCAGCGCACCCAGGTGTCACTAAAACGACGGCGAAGATCAAAGAACTGTTCTTTTGGCCCAAAATGAGAAAAGATGTGTCGCGTTACTGTAGAAGTTGCACGAACTGTCAGTTGGCCGGAAAGCCAAACCAGACAATTCCTAAGGCCCCTTTGAGTCCGATTCCTGTATTAGAAGAACCTTTTTCTAAAATCGTCATGGACTGTGTAGGTCCCTTGCCTAAAACCAAGGCGGGCAACGAGTACCTACTTACCTTTATGTGTTCAAGTACCCGTTTTCCCGAGGCGATTCCCTTACGGAACATTAAGGCAAAGACTGTAGTCAGATCCATGACCCGGTTCTTCACTACCTTTGGATTACCTAGAATCGTGCAAACAGATCAAGGCAGCAACTTCACCAGTCACCATTTTCAGGAAGCGCTAGCCAAGCTAGGCGTTACCCACATCACCAGCTCAGCCTACCACCCTCAGTCTCAAGGCGTACTTGAGAGGTTCCACCAAACCCTCAAAACCATGCTAAGGACATTCGCTAACAGTAACACCCAATGGGATGAGTCTGTTCCTTGGATTATTTTCGCCGCGAGGGACTGTGTCCAGGACTCTTTAGGCTACTCGCCTTTTCAACTTGTGTTTGGACATTCTGTCCGTGGCCCCCTGAAGCTGATACACGAACGTTGGACAGGTACCAGTGATCATCCAGTGGAAAACTTCGACGATTTTCACGTTCGACTGAAAGCCGTGTGCGAAATGGCTCACAAGAACTTAAGAAAGGCCCAAGTTAGAATGAAAGAACTGTATGATAAGAGTTCTTGTAAACGAACATTCAATCCAGGCGACAAAGTTCTTGTGCTAGTACCTAATCTGAACAATGCGTTATCCTTGAGATATTGTGGACCCTTTACTGTGCATTCAAAATTAAGTGATTTGAACTATGTTGTCAATACGCCCGACAGAAGAAAGAAACAGACAGTGTATCATGTCAACTCACTGAAAAAATATTATGATAATTGTAACAATTTTCAATCCACAGCTAAAATTACCTTACCTGTATGTTCAAATGTTTCTGATGATGTGATACATGATAAATTGAAACCCCCAAAATTGGTAAATTCTTCCTTTTTAGATAATTTGAATGTCCACCTTATGCATTTGTCCACAGAGGAAAGCCATAGATTGTCTCAGTTATTTGAGACATTTCCCTCTATTTTTGGGGATGTCCCCAAAGAAGCGAAGGTTCCACCTCATGATGTAGACGTTGGTGACGCAAAACCCATTAAACAACACCCCTATAGAGTTAACCCGGAAAAAGCTGCTTTGATAAAGGATGAAATTGATTATATGCTCAAGAATGAT